CATGGTAATGGCAACATAATAAACGTAAATATATTCCTGAACATCATAGACAAAAAAATTAATATTCCACACATCAGATACAATGTCATATAATCAGAAAAGGTCCATAATGCATTTCTTCTGCGCAGGTAAAAGGCTAGGGGCCCCTCTTACTAGCATGATGGGTGTCAGCAGCCTCTGACAGAATGATTCTGAACACATTGATGGCTTGAGTAATCAACCAAAGAGCATGAACACGACCAATCGGCAGCGCCAATCGACGCCAAGGAAACACAAAAGCACCTTTCAGGCACTGGCCTTCCTGAACATCCCAGAAAAGCAGAGCTGTTCTCATGACGGCAGATTGCAATACCCACTTTGATGAGTAATTCCGGGCACATGCATAAAAACTCATGAAAATAATGTAATTAGATCAACATCTGTACTGCAATGCATGGATCACAACAGTAATGCTGCTGAAATACACACTAGAAATAACAATTTCGGAGTATCAGAAACAGCTTTCAAAGAATCAATTTTATGCCATTACATATAGCACCAGGAGGTCCTTGCCCCTCGTGTCAATGCGAATTTTAAGAAAATCATCAAGCCATAGGAAAACACTCAAAGATACTGATGTTAGCTTGCGAAATTGCAATATCGAAATATTACCACCATGAGGTTCTTTGCTTTTGCAAAGAATTTTTAGAAACCGTCAGACAATCAAGCTGCAACAGACCATGTATTGTCTTATTAAATATAATACAAATGTTCTCAATTCAGATAGCTACAGATAATAATCAGTTGTGATGGTACTCAAGCATAAATTCCATCCATCCCCAGCTCGAGGACATAAAAATTGACTAGTTAACTTCAGTCATCATATTGAAAGCACACCATAGCCGTGATTGGTGGACCTTGTCAATGGATGTTCTGAGGTGCACATGGAGGTCAAAAATGACCTTGTCAATTCATCTAACAAAAGGCACAGTGACATTCATTACTTCAAAGCATATCAAATGATAGACGAGAGTGCTCATAACTCTAATTTTTTTACACTAAGAAATAAGAAAACATTGTTATCGCTAGGTGCTTAGCTATCTTAGAAGAGCCCACAAAATTTAGGAGCATAAGAATAGTATATCTACATCAATTCTTCTACGATTCATTAATTTCCCAAATAGAAAAAAAAATAAAAATATCCACAAACATTATGCTGTGGTTAGATATTCTAATTGTGAAAGATAAAAGTAACTATAATTACACTGATCGGAGTTCAATTCTAAACCAAGTTACACAACCCAATATCAAACCATAGCCATACTATTTTTTAAGGATATATAAGGCTCTCTACATTCAGAGATTTTACATATCAGAGAATAGACTGTAGCAACAACGTGCAAGGAAAATATGCTGAGCGAACCATGCAAAAAGCTGATAGCAAAAGGATTCCAAAGACCATACAAAATCAAAATCCAAAGTCTAAATGACAGAAGAAAGCGTCTCTAATAAGGTTCAATATTCGAATTATCACAAAGAATGACATTTAAGTAAAACAACCTTCGATAATGTAGGTTGTCCAGAAAAAGTAAAGTAAAAATGTAAAATAGAGTCTACACAATTATAGGATCCCATTATTACAGGAAAATTGAAGACAGTGATAAAATACAAAAGAAAAGGAAAGCAGAAAAAAATTTAAAAGGCAACTCAAGGTTCTTTTAGATAAAGCAAAAGTGAACACAAGACTTTTCTTCTTTACTCTCAGAACACTACAAAATGATACAGGCAAGATGATGAACAAGTTAGTTGTTAAAAAAGGCATCAAATCTTACAGGAAATAATATAAAAAAAGAAAATAAATGGCAGACTAGTGTGTGTCTCTCTCGCTAATATGAAGTCTGAGAAGAGTAGTCTTGCCCATCATTCAAGCCATTATTGTTCATGTCATGAAGGAACAAAAAAACTTTAAAAATAATGAATGTCAAGAAAGCAAGAATAAATACAGAAGTTATCATGGGAAAAACAACATAATTATGTTCATAAAATGAGAAAAACACAAATATTATATATATATATATATATATATATATATATATATATATATATATAGTGCAGCCTTTGTGGGATCATATTTAGTCATCGTGCCAAGTAGGATCAAGAGCCAACCTAGGTAACCTTGCTGAGGTAAATAATATCCAAGTGTACTGGCAAGGTGAATCAAACCAATACTAATATTCTTGAGGTAATCTCGTATCCTTCTGTTGCTCCAAGTTCATGTTCAAAAAGGATCCTGCAAGAAGAGAAGGCACTGAGGGCTGCCCAGTGGGACCCTCATCTAACACTCAAATTAGAATCTCTAGTGAGCTCCAAGGTGAGAGAATGAGCATATCGAAACCTAAATGAAAACAATAAACAAGAGTTGAAGGGATTGGAAAGATTTCACTTATTCCTGAGGAAGTCTCTTCATATAATGGCATGTAACAGGCATTTGCTCAAATTGGGCATGCTACTTCAGATCTGACAGTTAGCCAATAGCTGAGTCTTGATTCAATTGTAATCTACAAGAATGTGATCTAATAGTTGTAACTACTTGCATGGCAATTTACCTGTAACCGCCTTGAAGACTTTTGTGTCTGCAATAACTATCTTTCATAATGTGTAAAGAGTCAACATGTCATGAACATATAGCTGCTACATGCAGTTCACTAATATTCCCACATCAATCCTAAATTCATATGGTAAGGCCACTCAATGAACATATTTTTGAATCCATAATTGACTCTACCAAGAATCTTAGCCCAAATTCTAGTAGACCAACCAGTTATCCTATTATGAAATAAGTCAAAGATTTTTTTTACTTTTATCATTATGTATCAGCCATGCAGCAAAAACTCCATGGCATTAGATGGATTTCAACCTAATAAGATAGGATAGACAACACGTAAATAAGTAACACCTGCAATCCCTTGAATGGCTACTTGAATATGATAACTTCATTTGACAACTAAAGCACTAACTAACAAGCATGGATCAATTAGAGTTGAGTAAAAGATCTGACCTAATAGGATACAAGTGCTTGGCAGATTTAACAGTATCTAATCCAATATGAAATAAGGATCATACACATTGTCTATAAATATGGATTCTTCACTAATATGACATCCTCGCATGACTACGTAAGTCTGATGTCCTTGATTCTAAATATGTCAAGAATGCTAAAGAATCATAATATAGCATTCTTACATGACTACGCAAGTCCAATGGCCTTGATTGTAAATATGTCAAGAATGCTAAAGAATCATAATACACGTGATGCACAACAATAACAAAACCGTAAGCCCCAATTATTTAGAAACGGTTACATAGATCTTTTACCGTCATTGAGATCTAACGACCATGATACATATGAAACTAAAATATACACATTTCTTGGCAATTTGAGAATCACTTTTACTAACAAAAACATATAATTTGAGAATCATTTTTACCACCAGAAACTTAAGGGATGTAGAATATGATACTCGATTATCCATGCAAAAACCTATGTCTGAACTAGTGCACCAATAAATTTTAGAAAATCGACAAATAGATTATTTGTCAGAACCAGTAACAACACAAGAATTTACAATAATATTTAAGAGGGCATTACAAAAATACAATCCTTTGAATGTCTTGGTTGGGGGCACCAACACCAGCCAGGTCCAGAATAGGCTTGTATAGTTTCACATGAGGAAAACAATAAGAAAAGACAAGATTTAGCATTATTCTTTGTGTTCTTCCACTATCAAAAATAGAAACTTATAAATACTTGTAAAAGGATATATTAGGTATACTTGCTTTAGCTTGCAAGTTTTCTGAAATTAGTTGAAAGTTTTCAATTATGAAACTTCGAAAGAAAAAAATACAAACTGACCATCTAACCTTTTTTTATTAAGGAAGAAATTCATGGAGTGCATGGAAAATTAAGAAATTCAATCTAATTTTCCTATGGGAAGGAGTAAATCAGTTGCACTATTGTTTGGACATCCCCATTCAAGGGAATGAATGGTTGTTCGTCGAACCTCTTGGACAAGGACAATTGTCTTTCCATACCAGGAATTTGAGATATCAAGAATGTCTCCCACGTTGATATAATGTTTATAAAGGGTGACCAATGTATGAGGAGGCCACTAACATGGAATCTAAGGAGGGTCAATCTGCATAACCTTATAGTTACAAACAACAAGGAAATTTCTATGACTCAAACTTTGGTCCCTAGTCCACAAAAGAGTAATCTTGTGTTAGTACGAAGACTTACCTATCTGTATGCAATTCATACCATCTAATAATAAAAGTCGTGATAATTTTGCCCGTATTTACAATGTGTTCAACAAATGTTAATTATCTTTAATAATGATGACAAAAAAATGAACATTTTTAGGTTGGTACTTACCCCTAGGTTCTTTTACTTTTATCTTTAAACATCGCTTACTGAATGGTGACCACCAAATGAATTTTCTGAAAATTGAAAACAAACAAAACATAAACACTTCTCATTGTTTTTCAATTGAAAAACATAAAGAAAACCTATGTTTTTATTTTAAAATTTAACATAGATAAGTTCAAACTCCTATTTCACATTGTGTGGCTATTAAATGTTCATTAAAAAATAGGAAAGAAGCCTAAAGGTTTAGCATTTTTCAATCAGTTATAAATGGGTCAACGGTTTGGGGGCAGTTGATCCATATTCAAGTTGCTCTTGACCAAACACAAGCCAACTTGTCTCACTGCCAGCCCTGGTAAAAGGTTTGCACTTTGTTCTTAATATAGAAAAAAATTAGAGAGAGGCGTGAAGGAAAAAGGACTTCTAGACAACATAAGTTACATACCTAAGATTTTTCACCATGCTCAACCCACTGGGAAGAAAAAGTTGCATGTTCCATCAAATTTGATATGCCAAATAATTACTGTTACAGTTCGACACAGAAATCCTCTCTACAATGTATTTTACAGCTGAGCCAGATCATGTGGTTTCTCCATAGCTTCTTTAAGAATTATCTCTGCTCTCCTTTTCTTGTCATCTTTCTCGTCATGCCTCAAAGGCCAAGAATCATTTTTAGCATCCAAGGCATCAGAAGAAAATGATGCTGCTATAGATTTCTTGTCAACTTTAAGTTTGAAATGCACGATAGGCCTCCTTCCAGGAAGAACCTTTTTCTCATTAGTCTCCAAGTCCACAGGCCCAACCTTTACGGACTCAGTGGCAGGGACAGAAGTCTCAAGCACACACAACCGGTTGCCAGCATCAGCATCTCTTTCCCATGGATTAGCAATTACAGATACTTCTTTCTCTCCAAATGGCAAAGGGGGGGACAGAAATGGGTTGCTAACAACCATTTGCCTCTCTTTACCATAACTGGCATCATTCGTAGGTTGAAACCCAGTTGTACTATTATAGGCAAGCCGCTGTTGTAAGCTCAACAAAGAACTCTCGGCCTTCGTCCGCTGCCTTGTCTCTTCGACCTTGTCCATTTTAGTGTCAGTTACCCCTTTGTTCCACTCTTCCATGCGGACATAGGTACGAGGATCAGGAAGCCTCGGAACCCAATCAGGTATGTGCTTTCCGCTTGATGTCTCTCCAACCTGAGCAAAGCTAGGTGTCGGCTTAGGTGTTGTACAAACAGGGTATCCGGAAATGGGCTGCGCAAATGGGACTTCCTCTGTTGTAACGAACTGGGTGATCTCTCGAACAACACCTGAACCCACCAGACAATGGTGAACATCAGATGCCCCAGAAAAGCCCCTTGACGAACTCAAATCCTCAAGCCCCTGGATGATGTCAAACACATTGCAACTAGTTCTTCCAGCTAAATTAGCATAAAAATTAGCACTTTTGCCTAGATCACAGATGTATCGGACCATGATATCCGCCATAGCATTAATTGCAGTACGATTGGAACCGTGAAACCCAACCGACTCGCAAATCTGGCCGACGGCGATCTTGGCGACGGCGTGACTGAACTCATCACCTCGCGACGACAGCCGGCTCTTCTTCGAGGTTGTCCGTTGATTCCTTCCACTCTCCCTACCTCCATCGCTCATGTTCACCGGATCATATTATTGGCGCCAAATTAGGGACTTTGCCAATCTATACTACTCTCTGTCCATCCACTGCCGCTGCAAAGCTTGTGGTTACGGTATAACAAGAAAACAAGCGCGTTCGGTCTGAGAAGCAAGTACCAAGATGTATCCGTCAAAAAACCCTACACTTCAGTAGCATTTGAACCAAAAGCCACCGCGAAGAATTGATGAAGCTGGTGAGGAACTCGCCGATGGCCGGTGGGGTTACGAGCAGGTTCTTCCATGGATCTCTGCAGCTTGAGTTCCGAAAAAGAACCTATTAAACGCAAGAGCCGCAACCTCAATAAACCCTAATTTCGAAAAGGGGGAGGCGAGGGAGGGAGAGAGGGAGATTGAGATCGAGAAGTGATGGGGGTGTCGAGATCGGGTCGACTGGGATCTTGACTTATTTATAGAGGCGAGGGTTTGGTGTGGTGGAGAGTAAGCGTTCGCCGATGGCGCATGCGCAGCCGGGGTTTTAGTGCTCCGGCGGAGCAGCGGACCACCGTCAAGCCTCGCCACCCTCGGTCCAGACTTTAATCCCGTGCACAGCCGTAATCAGCGAACAGGGTTTTGCGACACGTAGCGTATATGTGAACGCGGCGTCATGTGAATCGATCGCGCTGGTGTTCGGTGTTCGAGATAGCACGTGGCTCCGCTGGTGCCGCTTACTTTTCACGGCATGGGCTCCGCCGAAGGCGAGAAATCTTCGGTTGCGGGCTGCTTTTTTATCCGCACGAATCTCAACGACATTGGTCCCCCTCCTCGAATCTTAATCCACAGAAAACGGCGATCGTCCCGAATCACAAGTTTTGTAAGAATTATATGTATATATATATATATAACATCATTAGAGACTATATGGGATTGCTGTGATTGTTTTTTTAATGCATGCTACCATTATTTGTGATCTAATTATGTTGAATTAGAAGAAATGCAATAAGTAGATGGACTAATTTCATATGAAAATTGAAATAAGAGGGGTTAATTATATATCCTGATTTCTACGCTTTAAAATGTATATATCTATAATTATAAAAATGAACCATCTAGATTTATTTAACATAACATCATCAATTTTACTAATAAAAATATAAAAACAAATGATAAAAAAATAATTATAATGTTTCAATTTATGGTGATAGATGGTAGCGTCATTAGGGCTATAGGCGATTGTTATAGATAAGAAGAGTAACAATGAGAGGTGAGGGCCGCTTTACATTTGCATCGACGCTGACGCAATTGTTGAGTGATGCCACTCTGCATTTGTGTTGGCGCCAATATAATTATCGAGCGATGAAAGGGTCATCGATGCAGATGCTGAGTGGCCCTTTCGCCCCTCGATAATTGCATCAACATTGATACAAACACAAAGCGGCAAAAGGGTCGCTTAGCATTTACATCGACGACCCTTTCACCACTCAACAATTGCGTCGGCATCCACAACAACCACCCATGACCCCCAACAATATCTCATTAGCCATCACTAATATCCTCCGCCACCATCAACTGGAATGTTAAAATTATTTTTTTACTTTTTGTCTTTGTGTTTCCGTTAGTAAAACCGATGGCGTTTGGATAAATAGACTTAGATGTTTTATTTTCGTAACTATAAAAATACAAATGTAACTTTTTAAGGTGTAAGGACTAGAATACTAAAGGTAGCTAAGGGGATAATACGTAATTATCCCAAATAAAAGCAAGAAAGAATATGTAATTGCTTTTCCATTGAAAATATTAATTAGAACAATTCCATCTCACTAATGACAATACTTCTTATGCAGTCTAATACTAATGACAATTCTTCAACCAGAAATCATATGGTATTTGATATCTTCACAGTTTGCCTGCCTTTTTCTCTTTTGGAGAAGTAAACAATACACAATTTGAGATAAGGAACTGCAACACGGTATCAATTGAGAATGGCGTTTATACAATTTGCCTGCCTTTTATTATAAGAAAGTCAACAAAATACAATTTGAGACAAACAGGAAAGTTCATCAGACACAACGATGGATAGCAAAACTAGTAGTTCCAATGACACTTAAATCTTCGTTCTGAGTGAATCTTAATTGGATTTCTGCAAGTTGGATACAAAATTTGATGCAGCAAATGCTGCTGATCCACCAACCACACAGACCAAAGCTACAATGATCTGCAAGGCCACTTCCCATGGATACTGCTCAGGCACAACAAATACACAAACAGGACCCAGGACAAGCAGTGCCAGGCTTATGCTCAGGAGTGTTCCAGGGGTTGCAGGGTCTGTTGCCGCAGAAAGAACTCCGAGTTCCTCTGCCTTTGAGAGGAGGCCCAACCTCTCCACCGTCGAGAGTGAGAGACCAAAGTTCTCAGCTGCGGTGAGTAATCCTGCTTTCTCTGCCTTAGTCAGGAGTCTAAGCTTCTCCACATTTGTCAGCAGCTTGATGGGTTCTGAACCATTGTTGTTCATTTGTCTTGGGCCTGGCTCACCTAAAGGGAACACTGTTGATCCCTGCATTGCGAATTGATACTTTTTTCGGTCGGTTAATATTCATATGATCTCAGTAGCAAAAGATCAAAAGAAAGTAGCTGCATGATCAGTAGAACAAATGCTTACAACATTGTGCAACTTGAATGCAACACTTATATGTTGTATATGGAAAAGAGACTACAAGTTAATTTCTAGGAGACAAAAATGAATTACTTTTGCGGTCGGTCACAATTCAGATGAACTCACACCAAAACTTTGGCAAATGAGATACACCTATTTATTTGATGAAGGCCTTTTGCTTATGATTATGTGGACCAAAGTGCAGGTCATCTAAACATGAGCATGATTTGGATTAGGTGACTGTCAAGGAAAGAGCACCATGTACACTGAACTCTAACATCTTATAGGCAAGTCAGATTAGATCTCAAAGGTAAGGTGCAAGCTAACTAGAGAGAAGAACACCAGTGACAAGCATTAATTAAACATCAGACGAAATGAAGAGGATAGATATAAGATTTAGACTCACAACATACTCCCTTACCACGTTGGATTGGATGACCAGTAATCCAAAAATATATATCTTGTAGGAAAAAGGAAGCTAAATCATCAAATACCTTGGATATCACAAGTTAAAGAGAGATAAATGGTTATTCACAGACATCATGATGAAGCAACTGTATGTAATCAAATGACTTTTAACAGAAAACAATTACATTCTATTCCGATAAACATTGATATAATACAAAGATGGATTGACTGATTCTAGTAAATATTTTAGTGATGAGAGACTTGCTTGCTAGACTTACAGTACACGAATCGAGTACATGACACTAAAGGAACCATAAACTCTCCTAATTATATATGCTACCTGTATCGGTCAAACCTTAAATCACAAATGAAGCATTATAAACCACGAATTCAACAAAATAGCAGTGGAACAGAATAAAGTAGAGCATAAAAAGAAATCATTCTTCAGCTTCTATTATCCGCTTCGAGATGATTGAGCTGCTCACCCTCCTGGTGGCTGAAACTCTGGTTCCGGGCTTCGGGGTGGCCATCGACTTGATGAAGAGAGGGCAGCGAGGTATGGCAGGAGAAGATGAGAACATCATTCTGCTGCTGCAGATCCCCACAGCTTCCATGGATGCTCCTCTCTCTCTCTCTGGATGCTATCAGAGGCGATCGGCCTCTCGTTGGAGTGGATATTTCGGCAGTGGTCGAGAAGGAGCAATCCTCAGCAGTACACGCGTCATTAGACTAGTGGTGGAATGGAACTACATACCCTAAGCTTTAATTAGAATATATAAAATAAAATTAGCCGATCACCAACATCGACTCCATGGCCCAATGGATAAGGCGCTGGTCTACGGAACCAGAGATTCTGGGTTCGATCCCCAGTGGAGTCGCTTTTCATTGACTTTTTTTTTTTTTCCTTTTTTTGAATAAATAAATGATATGTAACAAACCCCAATCCCCCTATAAAATACCAAATAATATGATTAAATATTTTTCAATAAATGAATGATATTATCTATTGTAACATACTTTAATACTTATGAACCCAACATACAATATATAAAATAAAAAAGAGAATGTAAAACAAATATATATATATATATATAATTAAAATGATACAAATATGTATTTTTATATCAATTATGATAATTGATATTAACATTGATTTTGACTTTAAATCCTATTTAATAGACTCATAAATGAACCCTATCATTTTAGCTTTAGTTCTAACGTTGATACTAATAATATTATTATTATTTTCAACTAATCGAGACTCAACATGTTACCTTAGGTTCTTTGTAGATGGCAATCTCTTTCACATAAAGGTAATTTGGTTTGACTTCAATTGTCTTTACATGAACATGATATGAGTCTTATTTTATACAAGTAAAAGATGAACAAACATAGATCTCGACAATTGGTTTTCATTAGCTCTCGTCAATGTCCGAGCTTAAATCAGATTAGGGCAATAGTGTTCGGGCTTAGGTCAGATTAGGCCATCAATGGTCGAGCCATAGCCAAAGCCCTCCTTTAATTAAATATAATAATGATAATAAAGTGAGATTTTATTCCTCTCATTCGAGTATTAAACTTTGTTCTCTTTCTCCCTTTTACTACTACACTAATCACCCGTAATTATTAACTTAGAAAGCACATGTTTTCGCAAAGTATCTAATGATATATTCACTTTACTTAAATAAATAAATAATACATATAATGTAACCAAAGTATATCTTTCCATACGATGCATCTATTCAGAACAAAAAAATTATCTAAAGCATCCAATATTGATAAAAATATATCTTATTTGTGCATAACATGTATGTCTAAAATACAAAGATATTCGAAGCATCTAATGTTCCCAAAATATTCCATTTGAGAGTGATACATTCATATAGGATAAAAAGAATATATGAAGCATCAAACGTGACTAAAGTAGTCTAATCTATTCATATAGGATAAAAAAGAATCAAACACATTATGATATATTTGTTTGAGATAAAATAAAATAAAATATTCTCTTTGTATATAATACATTCATTCAAGATAACGACAACATCAATTATAATTAGAGATGAGAAGACGACCAATATAATTAATACTTTCTCTTTACAAGTGATATGTCCATCCATTACGTGTCTCGCATGGCCTAAGATAAAAAAGTAATTAGAGTATCATTTATTATCTTTGAACATAAATAATAATCATCAATATCTTAAACAAATAACTTTATATCTTGATGCACAATAAGAGAACAAATGATATGATTCTTATATTTATATCCCTTTGGTTAAATCCTCACGTGTGCTATTGTTTTTGTTAAATTAATTTAGTTTAATAACTATTATTCATATTAATGACTATAAAAAAATTAAAATTAAAATATCTTTTAATATTTTTAACAAAAAAATATTATATGTAAAATTATCAATTTTATAAAAATATATAATCCTTTGATGGCATTAGTATTATTTAGTGTGTTAATAGTATTTTATATTAGTGATAAGAGAGTAACAAAAGTGATTTATATTTTGAGTTTCGCATCGAACATAAATATTTACATTATATATTCACACGATTTTATGGATCAAATATGTGATATTTCGATTCTAATTCCCATTATTATTCTATATTTTTATCGATATAAAAAAATTAAAATATAGCTTTTACATTCATGACTCGCACTCGAATCGCCCTAGAGCAATCTTGATGAGGAGATCATATCTCTTGAGAAGTTTAAGGACTTCTCGAGCTCTCATATTGACAATGAATCACAACTCAGATAAATTTCCTTTCTATTTCTTTTTAAGGTATTCGATTGATAATTTTTTTTCTTCACTTCAAAAAATTAGTGAAGAGGCATATCATTTTCTTTCTTCTCCCCTTTACAAATAAGATAAATTATCATGCTTGTTTCAATAAATAATGTATATTATTGGCAACTGATTAATTTCCTCTGTAAATTCTTCAATCATGATATTTTTTTCTCATAGAAATTGAAAGCTTCAGCCCAGCCATGTGGTTGATCACGAAGGATGAAATTAGAAAAAGGAAATGTTCTTATATTGAAGTTATAGTTCTTCTCATTGATTTGATATTATTATTATTATTATTATTATTATTATTATTATTATTATTATTATTATTATTATTTATACAAATAAGTTTCAAAGTGTTGGGATTTTAGATGGACATTCTTTCCACTACATTGGCTATCATTTGAGCACTTTAGATGTATCATATATTTTTCTTCTCAAGTGTTGGGATTTTTCTTCTTGGAATACCTCGAATGTATATTTTGAACCATCCCCTTGCTTGTAAATGCATTAGAACTCAAATGTTGTGTTTGGTTTGAGTTGGGAACGAATATTATGTTGATGGCCATCGATCTTGCCTTTCAAGCATTATTAAAAAATATAAATTAATTCATTTGGTAATAATTCTAATTTGGTTAGCCATCTAAGGATAATTTAGTTTTTGCCTTTTAGCACGGCCGAATCTAATGGTCATATTTGCGCCACTTACTCTGCACGTGGCCGTGGGCAGTTGTGTTCTCATCGCTCGACACGTGTATCCTCGGTCAGGCGAGCTAGTTGGCGCTTCCGACAGGGCTATCCTAAGAAGATCCCGCCGGCCGAAACTGTCGCCCTCGCTGATGTCAAGCCGACCGAGAGGTGCCCACTGGTCGCTGACGCAGTGGGCCATTCTAATGGCCGCAACTTTCGACCAGTGACGGTTCGCCACGTTGCACTAACCGGCATTTGGCTCCGTGGGTAGCGACGAACGCGCCTCGCTTGCTTGTGATTGGAGAAAGGGTTGTGGAGACCACATGGGGCCCACCGAAAAGTTACAGAAAAGAAAGAGGGGTGGGCCGATGGGAGACGCGCGGGTGAGAAAGTAATGGTTGGTCGTTTTTCTGTAAAGCAGGCAAACACCGGACGTGGCGTTGGGCCTTCCACCCACGCAGGTCCTAACGATACACAGATTTTATACCTGCCTTGTTCCGCTACGCACGTACCATCGGGAAGGCCGTGTGGGACCTGAAGAGTCCATACGTCTCCTCTCGGCTCACAGCATGGGTCTGGGAGGAGGGTACTCGCCAAGGCGGTATGAAAAGCAGTGTACTATTGGACCGACGACATGACAGGGTCGACGCGCCCCCCACTGGCAGCCGGGGCCCGATATGACGTGGCAAAACACAGCCCACGTGATTGACCATTGACGCTGGGGCCCACAGAAGAGTCCTTGGACGACACCGTCGCCTGGTGTGGTAGCTGAACAGGAGCTGTTCTTTTAAGTTAAAAGGTCGGCGTAGGGTCGCCCGCTGTTCCATCGCCCACGGTGTTCCCCACGACGAACAGAGACAAAAGAAATCCTGTTGCTACTCGTAAAGACCTACTACGCCGCCCACCTGCCATATCATGGAAATAGATTTAAGGTGGGCCCGACTAGTCTTCGTGGTTCGGAAAGCGGGTCGTCGACGTTTGGGTAGGCGAAGCACTGGTGGAACCAGAGAAGTGTGCCGGACAGGTGTCGGTACCTCTATTTGTCCCTGATAAAACCACGCCCTGTCCGACACGTGTCCATCCGACAGCGACACGAGCCATGGTACAGTTTTCCCCATCGCGCCGCCGGCCATCTCGGTGCGGCGCGACGCACCCTTTCGACACGATCGATCGTTTCAGTGCTCGACACGTACGATATAGCAGGAGACGATCGTCGCGTCAAAGATGATTAAGGGCGATTTAGGCATTGAAAGATAATTCCACGCCGTCCTCTCTGTCTCTGTCTCTGTCTCTCTCTCTAGGCTTTCATCTCCCTCCTCTCCTGCATCCACATGGGCGGATTGTAAATGGTTTCCCCTCGAGATCTTCGCTCCAAATCTTGCAACTCTACTTCCTAATATTTGTACGAGAGTTTAAGGGAGCAAATTGATTCTTTCGCCTTCCAAAAACCTGATTCTTTTCTCGGCTCCCTTCCTCTCATGGCGTACCGCGTCCTTCTCCGAATTCTTCCGCAAATTTTTGTTCTGATCACCAGCGATAACAAGATCCGTCGTCTCGGTGGGATAAAAGCCGTTTCTTGGTAGTCTTTTTGTGTGGCTCGATTCCTTTTACGAGGGTTTTTGAGCTTTAAGATCCTTCCGCCTACTAAAGATCCAAGTTTTATTGTCTGCCTTACTCCCTCTCATGGCTTCCGCGAGTTTTGCTCGTAAATTTTAGAACCGTGAGATAAAAATTGGATTTTGCGAGTGGTTCGTGTGGCTTGGCGATGGAAGAGAAGCTCTCTGTTCGGGCAGAGGGCTACCAGAAGGACTTCTTGAGGCGATTCGGAGCTGGCGGCGGCGGACAGGGGGAAGGGACGGAGGGAGGAGAGTCGGAGGATATCGAGCTCAGCCTCGGTCTCTCCTTGGGCGGACGCTTCGGGGTGGAACCCAAGGAGAAGCGGCTCGTCCGGTCCTCATCGATCTCGACGTTGCCCGTGGAGCGCGACCTCGCCATGGTTCCTCCGCTCGCGAGGACGTGCTCCCTGCAGGCGGAGGCCCAGGAGGAGCTCCGGAAGAGGAAGGAGTTGCAGAGCTTGAAGCGGTTGGAGGCGAAGCGGAGGAGATCCGAGAAGTTGAGCTCCAAATCCAGGATCGCAGACCGGAAAGGCGACATCTTTGACGAGGAAACCGCAGGGTCGAGGAACCGGGTCGCCCCTCACGGGCTTCCGTTGTGGATAGCCGGAGCCGGCAGAGCAGCCGCTCAACCAACGGAGGCACCGAGACGCTTCGGGCTGGTATCGCAAGGCTCGATCGGATCACAAGGAAGTAGCTGCTCAAGCGTTTCTGACGTCGAGAGCCAACCAAAACAAGGTGAGAAATCTCGACCACAATGCCTTCTAATTGCTGAATCTTTTTTTTTGGGGGGGTAATATTTTGCCGGAAATGACTGTTTAGTTCGTTTAATGTTGATAACATAAAATCATAAATCATGTTTGACTGACATTAAATAACAATTTAGTAGCATCTGCAAAATAGCCTAAAGGACAAATGCCACTCGATGTCTAGCTAATTGGATGCAGCATTGGCATTTGACCAAGAACATCCAGAATTGGCATGTCATCAACTTCTCATGCTGTTCCTCAAAAGATGTATTGTTTTCTTGCCATGCCATCCAAACCCAAGCTAGAAGATCCCATTACAATCTATGACCTGTGTCTCAGGATCAAGAAACAGTCCCCGGGTCGGGAGTCCCATGACTGCGATGCTGTCACCCGAGCATGGCAGTCACAAGGCAGTATCTGATCATACGACAGCCGCGGCAGTAGGAAAACACGTTGCCGGTGTCACCGGGGAAGAGGGCCAATCAAGGAAGGCTACAGAAGGAGCATTGGACGACAGGGTGCGAGAAAAGGCTGGGAGGAACATGGTCGAAAGAATGCCTTGTGTGTCCACCAGGGGAGATGGACCTAATGGCAGAAGGATCGAAGGGTTTCTCTACAAATACAGGAAAGGGGAGGAAGTAAAGATCGTGTGCGTGTGCCATGGCAGCTTCTTCACTCCTGCTGAGTTTGTTAAGCATGCAGGAGGGGGTGAAGTGGCTCACCCACTTCGGCACATCGTCGTCGACACCCTGCCGTCGGCATTCTTGTGATGGCATGCATTTCTATAGGAATTAGCAGGCAACAGTTGTTGCATGTTAGAATCGTCTGGCTTTTGCGTTATTGGACATTGTGAGTTCTTTTTGTATTTCCGAACTCTCCTACCATTGTCTGTTCATGCAACCTTTTATTGCTTATTGGGAAAACCGCAGGAAAGCGTACCGGATAAACTGCAGAGGGAAGGATTTTTTGGTTCACAGATCACACACGCCGGTTCGCCAACCCAACTCATTCCCGGTTCACTTGGTACACGCAGGTGCCGTAGTCGATCTGCCGTGTCACCAGCGTTCCATATGGCAGTCAGCTAACAAAGAAAGTATTTGGCGGTGAAAGAGATTAATCACTTGATACAATACAAATAGGGGACGTAATAAATCACCTTAATCCATGTCCAGGAACAGAATCACTTGCACCAATTTGGCTCCAAGAATACCTGCTAATGGCAACGCGACAGGAATACTGAATTAGATAGTAGCACAAATAGGCAGACTCTTCTCTCCCTTGTTCAAGATGTCTTCCTTCTTTGCAACTAAAAAAATGCATGCTTGTGAAACATTTCAAATGCGTTGGATTTATGCTAGCATGTCTTGTTCTTGGAAAAATAATGATGTCAACAGAGTGTACTCGTGCATGTAATGTAAGCTAGCAAGTCCTTTCGTGGAGATTCAATAGGGAATACACAGAACTCAGTCCTCATCACTATCAAACACAATCGCCTTTCGTCGATTGACCGATGTCATCTTCCTCGGAGGAGATTCCCCATCTGAGTCGAACTCCTTGCGTTTCAGAGTACTGCTTCCCGTTTTTCCCCTTGGCTCCTGGAGTAGGTAAAGAGAGCAAAAACGTTTCAAAAATATAGGAAAGGACAAATAAGTCGCTTGAATCATTATATTCCCAAAAAAAATGTCACTCGGCTATAATCCAGATAAGTCCATTTTCGAACAAGTTCATTTAGACTTATATATAGCCAAGTCACATATAACCACTTAAAATACAGCTCAGTCCGGATGATGTACATTTTCACACTACAGGCGTATGGTCCAGCCATCTTTCTAACATGTCGAATTCAAGTTCATTAAACTAAATCATGATGCTACTAAGTAAAATTAAACTGTAAAAATTTTGGCAATCCTAAACTGTAAAAGGAAAACTGACTCCTGCACGAAGTTCTTACGACTAACTGAATGTTTAAAAAATATATCCAATATACCATATCACTTAATGGATGGAAATCTAATTCAGCAGTTCTCATGCAAAAACTCATCCAACTACTATTTGGTGCAACTGTAAGCAACTGGCAATTGTAGTACAAACATAGTCAGCAAAATATAGATTGGGACAGGATAGGGGTGATACAATCTAGGTCGGCAGGATCAGTCGGATTGGATAGGCAGGATTATTTCAATCGAGAACATATTTTAGAAATAAAAACTACAAAAAGATCCTAAAAATAACAAACATTAGCAATGAAAAATACCGTTTGATGATTAAAAAGTATATAACCAAACATTATTTAACCTTCATTTTTCATAAGATATAAAATTATCTTTAAAATTATGATGAAATAAGAGAATAATTTATTTAAATATAACTGACATGTTTATTAAACAATAAATATCTATTCATCTCATGTATAGATACAAAAAATGATTATTATGCATACATCACAGAAAAGACCAAAAAACTTTGTAGCTTTGAGGAATAGCAATGTCACTAATGTGCACCCCATGCTTTTAAATTGCATTGCAGGTGAAGTGTAGATAGCACAAAGACAAACAGAGAGAACTTGACTTGAAGGGAGAAGCGGCCATGGAAATGGGATTAATCACAATTACCATGACATGCCCCTTCTCTTTGATGCATTCCCTTTGTCCTTTCACGGTTCAAGCCACCTTTAAATTCTCTCCTTTCTTTTCCTTAAATCCTTTACTTTCTTGTGCTACAATGGACCATGGATATTACAAGAATGCTAATAGATGTCAAAAGCAATGGTTGCTACAAACAGCAAACATAATAGTCACAAATCACTCTTTCTTTCTTCCATGTGGGCTTTCCTCTTCTTCCCCTACCATCCTTTTGCTACTTTTTCCTCTTTCAAAGCTATCAAATTGGTCAAAATTGGACAAATTCAACGACTTCAAATTGAATTCAATCTATTCTAGCTGATGCTAACCAATTTCTACTGATTCAGCCTTGGTCCACATCAATAAGGACCATATATATTCATCAAAATAAACCGATTTTGAACTAAGAAACTCATGTAACCTGAGCCAGCTTAATTTGTTTCCTCTGTTAAGATTGAAAAGCTTCATTAATGTGAACACATTTTCTTATAAATTGAACTTCTAAGTTCCACCCGAGATATTTTTTAACTACACATTTTCAATATTAGAATTTTTAGTTAACATACTTGTAGTCCTGATCTGCCCTTTTTTTTAAGAAGCACACTTAGCATACAACCAAAAAGTAGCGACTCATGGTTTTGCTTGTTAATCTTAGCATACAACCAAAACCTTGAACATCCTGGCCAACATAAACTCCACATCTTTCAAGTCAACTTATGTGATTTCATACTGAGATTATTTCTTAACTATAACATATAATCAAGATTTCTTCAGAAAGTATTTTAGTGACACATTAACCCAATTTATGCCAATCTTCTTCAGAAAGTCTTTCAAGTAAACTTATGTGATTTCACAAACAGCTTTTATTTGTTAACTGTGACCACATCTATTCAGGACTTCTTCAGTCATTAACTATTTCAAGGACATTTTATCCCATTTTACATCAATCGTCTTCTAAAAGCCATCTCATTCCAATGTTATTGCATATACATGGCAAGTGTGATTCTTATCTTCAACTAGTTTAACCATATTCTAAAACTCATAATACTAACCAAACAAAGTTGATACATCTAGTGGCAAAATTGAGAAATAAAGACATCGAGTTAATCAAGCTAAAACCATCAGCATGAAACCACATCCAGCCACTGTAAGAACTCATTATTATATATACGGAAGAAACGAGGCTGCAGGTGAAGTTAACAACTATACCTCATCTTCATCTTCCTCCGATGGAGATATTGCATCAGCAGCTTCATCAGCATCTTCTTCATATTCATCTTCATGGTCTGGCTCATCTTCCCTTGCATGTGGTGGGGAACGATCAACCTCCTCACCATCACTTTCATACTCAGATTCCTCCCTGTCGCTCTCAGAGTATTCCTCAAGTGGACGCCTCAGTGGGCGAGCAGCAGACACAGATGGCTTGTGTTGGACATTCCTATGTGAATTTGACTGTTGAACCATACAATAATTGGAAATATCAGGTCAAAGAGAAAAGACTGATAAATAATTTATCTATAAAAGTGTTACCGGACTCCTGGTTTTTTCAAGATACCATGGGAACAGTACATACTGATCACCAGTCTGGCCAAGTACCAGTGAGAAAGCATACAACTTAGTATTGTCTGGTATGTTGACCTTTTTATATAATTCTTTTGGTGACACTAGGCAGTACAACTCCATATACCCCTTGTTATCTTAAAACTGCATCAGTCTGACAAATTATTAAACCTAGTATCAGTATGGTAATTATAACCTTAATTGGAGCAACCTTCTTTGCATTGATTATGCGTCTCTCAGCCCTTGCTTCTGCTTCCAAATCTTCCTCAAAACGATTTCGAGCTGAAGCCCGATGAGAACTGTAATAGTCATCTGCCTCATCTTCCTGCAATCAAGAAATGCGAACTTAAGTATGGAACAATTATTTCCTGCAGTAAATGACAAGACATGTAACCATAACTCAGTTCATCAAATTGTATAAAACATGTAAAGAGTTGAATGCCAACTAAGGACCAAATAGTTATCACTACTGTTTCCCATATTTAAAAATTTGGTGGCCGTTAACTAGTTGGAAGATTTGAAGATGGAACAGTCATCAATGTTGTCATGATCATTGATTGATCATGAGGCCCAAAAGAGTCAAAAGTTGTTTTTAAAGAGAATAGAAGTATAAATTCCTACTTTCAAAAATTAAAAGTTGTGTAAAAGAGCTCTTGTAAACATTTTCTCTGATGGTAAACCAAATGTTTCTAAGTTACCAAATCCAATGAGCAAAACAATGATAAATCCATATGGCCATCTATGCTCCACCAAAGACTAGAAGGCCACAAATGCCTTTACAGGGGGAAATCACACATACGCAGTAACTACTAAAGATTCATAAACAATAAAACAATGATAAATCCATATGTCCATCTATGCTCCACCAAGCAAGGACTAGGAAGGCCACAAACGTCCTTAAAGGGGAAGAACACACATAAGCAGTAACTACCAAAGACTCGTAAACAATATGCCACAAACGACAAAATAATTAAGTAGGGAGCAAAGCAAAGCAAGATAAGAAAAATTGCCCAGCACATTTGCCAAGTAAACAATCAAGAGATGACATGCATTTTATTTTATATTCCTCAGGAAGAAATGTCTTGGCTTCAAATCCTTTGGAGGTTCCAGCTCTCAAAATCGAGGAGGACAGAATTATTAAGATATAACTTATAACAAGCTAGCATTCTATGATATCTTAAAGCAAACGAAACAAAATAAGCCAGTATCTTTGGAAATTTTTAGGCAGCTTTACCCATGTTAATATGCAGTCAGTCAATTTTTGTAATAAACACAGACCTCATCAAGTGCATCCTCCAAAAACCCTGGAGAAAGTTGTCTTCGCCCTCTATGGACAGGTTGCGCATATTTGCGATTCACTTTTTCCCTTTTTCTGTGAAGAAGTTCATTGGCTCTAATAGTTTGACCTTCAACCTGCAATTATTCAACTAAGTATAAGCAAATAACCAGTCTAGCAGGAGGCTCAAAGCAATAAGATATGTCCAACAGAAAATTGTGCATTAGTTACTAATGTAATTAATCAAGTCATCCTTGGGTTACCATAGTGCCATGATGTTTGATTATATTAAAAAAATTGTTTGATTATATTAAGAAAATGAGCAGATGCTGTGTTTTTACCCTTTCTTTTGCTTCCTTCTCTTTCTCTGGATCAATTTCTGTAATACAGTTCTTCACCTTATAAACTTTCTTATGACGTGAATCAACAAGAGCAGTTAATAAACGATGGGACTTTGACAATAATGAAGATGGCATAAACTTCATCTTTCGTAAAAGCCTCCCTTGAGATTGCAAAATTCCCTGCATCACCCATATGTAACTTAGGCTAAGAATTGTAGCTAAGATTAAAAATCATGGGAACAAAGAAATAAAACTGCAGATATGACAAGCTTAATGATTAGAAATAAATCTGCAAATTCTGCACCTTTCCATGACGAAGAAATAGGTGGCTTTGATCCTGACGTGCATCATGCACTGATATATCAAGAACTTCATTCCCAATTAATAACTGTAGGCTTCCATCTTTCCATCTCACAAACCGTGCATTGCTTTCATACTGAAAAGGAAAGCATAAAATTGTTAGATATATGAACTAAAATAAGCCAGAATAGATAACAAGTTCTGTTAGTGTCAAAACTTCTCTACTTGGTTGCTAATCCACTGAATAAAAAAGATCCATACTACTTTTGAGGCCCTCAGATCTTCAAAGCATACCGATGAATTCAAAATTCAAAAAACAAAAGAAGGATCATAAAAACACACAAGAAAGACATCTAACACCAAAATATATGATATAAAAAAAATTGTAGTTGATCGAAGAAAACTGGGAAAATCTTCAGTGATGCCAAGGAACAAAACAAAGAACAAAAAAGGGCAAAAGAAAAACATAGTCCCAATTCCAACTTTTCATGTATATCCTTAGTATTCACTACTAATAACTACATTCAGTTCAGCAGAGATCCTCATAATTCTTAATTCAAAACCTTAATAATGAATCACTCGATATCTTAACATGTAAGAAGGTGACTACTACGATCCAAAACTTAAATTACAAGTTAAATATCAATCTATAAATTTTCATATATTTTTTAAACCAGTACGTTAATACAATTATTCTAAACACCAAGGAGAATGAGGGGGAAAAAAAGCTGCATGTAGCTAGCCAGTAGAAACAAATAGCAAAAGGCCAAGGCCACAAAGAAAGCTATAAATACCATTGTTTCAACCGATCACTTGACAAGTAGATGACCATAGATGGCAAACGTTCAATGCCACAAAGGCAGCAATCAAATTACTGATGTATACAAGATTATATCTTTTTACAAATCAACTACAACTGGAACCTTGAAATATTAACAAATTAAGGAAATACAGAAGTCAATATAATTCAGATGAAATCATTACTTACAGAGACTGTGCCATCACGATTCTTGACTGCTCTCCAGCGGACAATATTGTCCTCTAGACGAATCCGCTTCTTCACACCAGATTCATCAGTCACAAAAACATCTTCTTCTACGAATGTCTTAGGATCAAAGGGCTTTGGATCAATATTCATAATGTTAGACACTTTAATGACGTTCATCTGAAAAGAAAAAGCCTTCTCTTAGAAAAGACATGCTGTTATGCTATAAAAATCACAGAAGTTATAGAACCATATAACAGATCATCCATACATTGGCAGAACAACAAATGTCATTTTCATTCAATAAATCCATGTGACTCTATTCTCAAGAAAGAAATATTATTTACTTCTGTTTAGACAACAAGTCTACAAGGGAAGCAAAGTTACCGACTCTAGTTTTCCAATTCTAAATAGTTATGAAGTTGGCAATGCAGATTTGTAAACACAATACGTCAACAAATGATAATTCGTGAGAAATAAAAAAAGAAATGGTTATGAGTAGCCCTACAGGGTGATCTTTGACCAGAAACTCATCAGACCAGACACAGGAAAAGAAGATAAAAGGCTTGAGTAAGTACAAAAGGATAAACCACAACCATTTCCATAAGTCATTGCATACAATATGGTGTACAAACTTAAGAGAAGAGGTATGTAGAGGAAGTAGCTGCCGTAATATAAATTAAAAAAATTAGCAAGCAAAATTGCTCACTCTATCAGGTCGACCTGGTGGAGCTCGTAATGGAACCTCCAAATCCAGTGGAGGGCCAACTGGTTTATCTTTAGGTTTTTCTTCAAAATTCTCATCCTCTGATGCATACTGCATATCTTCATCGGGCACTATATCTTCTGGTCTTAAATCTCTCTCGTAGTTTGTTTCCTCCTCCGCAGGAGATCTCTGGCACAGAAGAAAAACATATACACATATTTTCTGTGATTGTAACAAACAAAACCAGTATAGAAAGAGCAACCACATTTACAATTTTATATAGGATAAATAATTCAAGTAAGAAGCAATTTGCATACTGCAATGTTGTACACAAATCGACTTCTACATAATAGTCCTCAGATATTTGCTAAGAATGTAAATCGTATAGATAATTTTTCCTGACAATCTTACATTTTTTTACTCTTAGTTCAGCAAATGCTACATCTGGTTCATACTGTAAATCTATCACACAATAAAAAAAGCCCATCTTCTTAAAGTTCACAGATAACAAGAGCACAAAACCTTTTAACAAAGGCATTTTTCTGTTACAATCTAATCTCAGGTCAACCACATGGTTTGTGTAATTTGGGTGTCTATTAAAGGTGTCCACCACTACCCTTTCCAGTTCAAGCATGTAAGTCAGAATTCTATTTCCATATTCCATTGGCTGGATGAACTAACCAATAACAGTATCTTCTATGCCAAGCAATTTAGTCCCTGTTTGGACATGAAAACATACATTACCTAACAACATAGACCAGAGAAATGTCTTAGATAACCTATTTCAATTAATTAAATTTGAAGAACTCTAACAAACATTTCCCTTTGTAGGAAGAAAGCAAATAGCGATTGTGTAACAGTCTCACATGTAAATCATCCTCAATTTCATCTTGACCACCATATTCAGCTGGTTCATCCTCATCAGAATCTCCAAATACATCACGAACAACTTCATTGTCTTTTTGCTCACTCGTCAGCCTGTCATAAATGTGGAGAAATTACCAGCACATGAAATTGAAGCGTCCCAAACAGAGTTATGTAAAGAAAACAAGCTAACCAATACTATAGAACAAAAGTAAAGTGGAATTAAGTGGATAATGCATGAGCATATAAGGTTTCCCCTTCTATTGCAAACCTGAACACGATTATGTCATTGTTACTTGGGAATTGAACTTTAACAGCTGGAAGAAGATGCCTGAACTACAAAAAGCACTATTCCTATAACATCAGTCACAAAGAATCCATTATAGATGCTTGGCCAGAGAACCCATCAAAATGAACTGTTTGAAAACGTTCAAAACGGACTTATAGAAAACGTCAAAGTCATCCTCGAGATAGTGCTAAATCTTATTTGCTGAGTAGTGCACTTAACAAAGTCAGAACATAATAACTCAAAATAAGCAAACATTTTACCATTATAGTAGAAGTTTTTTGTTCAACAAGAATTTAAGCAATGGATAACTATAACAAGTATCTCACTAGTTGACTACTAACTTGGAATTACAATAAGTCTATAACAACTATCTCACCATTTGACGAATGACTTACTTTACTATAACAAATACCATACTATTTGACTAATGACTTGGATCTAATCATGGAACATGTGAGTGGAAACACAACTCATTGAAATTTCACCTTGGCTTCCGAGGTTGATCGGAGTCCATCTCTTCATCTTCATGATCAGCATAACGATTACCTTCAGATTCTTCAGACTCACTAGCCACCACTTCTCTTCTCCGGCTAGTAACTACCCGTTGCCCATAACCCTCCTCCTCACTCTCAGCATCTTTTGGTTCACTTTCCATCTTCTGGTCACTAACTTCTCTTTCGGCAGAACTCTGAACCCTTTCCCCATCACTCTCCCCTTGCTCAAGATCAACATCATATGCTTCAGCTTCACTTTCCACTTCAACCTCTCCTTGACCCTCAATTTCACCTTCACCCTCTCCCTCACCCTCACCCTCACCCTCACCTTCACCTTCACCTTCATCATTTTCAGCCTCACCTTCCCCTTCATCCTGAAACACACAAAAAGGGACGTTGATGAGAAAAACACTGATTAACCAAGCAAGGTTCCAAAAGTAACAATAACAGCGAGCAAAACAATGGCTCAGAAGACATATCTAATATTCAATGCCAGATAGGATCACTTTAGTGTAAAATATTCACTGTTTCAAACTTTAGCATTGCAACATTATATACCACATTCAAGTACATTAGATTATACCATATGCCATTGGATCAAACAAACCAGAAAATAATATTCGACCAATTCAAACAACAACAGAAACAAAGAACATAGTTGATCCTCAAATTCAAAGATTCTGAATCGTTCAAACAACAACCAAAATAAAGAACAATACAGCAGATGCTAAAGTTCAATGATTCTGAGAAACATACACAAAAACATCATTAACTACGCTGCACGCAAAAAGCCTTGTGAAAGTCTTTTTTATTATTATTATGAAACATTAGATGTCATTCTTCTAATTCGATTTCTTGATATCATAAGAAAATTAGAAGTCACAGTTTAACCATAAAGGAACGGTCCATCTTACAAAGACCCGTACCCATTTATCCTTACGTTTTTTCACAGAACAACTTCCTTCGAAACAAAAATACACAAAAGGAACAGGTCCACGGTCCTACAACCCCTACAGAGTTCATCTATTTATCGCCAAAACGAATAAAGAAGACGCGGACTTGCTTCTATCTTAAATTACGTTATTTCTACAATCAGAACATGCGTTAACAAAACAAATTCCAAAATTTAACCTTTTCCGTAAACAATTGAAAACGACAAAAACAAATAACACTTCGATTCTATAACCCTAATTCCTTAACCACGACAAGAAGCTGAAGAAAATGCTTCATTGCAATCAGGTACCCTTCTCACACTTTAAATTCGGATAAGATACCAGTCATGGACTCCGAAACATCAGAAATTAGGGCAAAAATAAGGGAGACGAAGAATATAACCTAAATCAAAGGGAAAATTTTCCAACCCTCTTTTTTTGTTCGTTGAAAGATAAAGAGGGATACCGATTGGTAATCGGAGTGGTTGGCGGCGTCGTGCTGCTCGGAATCGACCTCCTCCTCTTCTTCCTCCTCGTCCTCCGACTGCTCGCCGAAGAGGTTCTGCATCATCTGGTTCCTCGTCTCGTCCACCATCTCTCTATCTCCTTCTATTCACCACTCCTTCCTTCCCTCTCTCACTTTCTCTCTCGATCTCCCTAGACCGATCAATCTCCCGCTCCTCCTCAGTCTCACTGGGAGTTCTCCGGATCCGCGCCGCTACCTTTTGCCGTCTCTGTCTGTGATTGCTCAGGCCTACCTTATACTCTGCTCCGTCACGTAAAAATTTTACGCTTTTTAATTACGTGATGAAATCAAACATTCTCAGCCGTCAGATGAAGACGCACGTGATGAAAAATATGTTTTACGCATATAACTCCCACTCTTTGTCTACCCGTTTGGTTATTGGGTGGAAAAACACCGTATGTGATGGTGAGAGAAAACAGGGTACGTTGGTTTTATGATATAACAAAAATCATCCAATACTATTCGATAAATATATTATATGATGATATATTATTTTCATTATCATTTTATACCCCCTAATAAAATGTCAAGCTTACCACCAATTATCAGACCACACAAATTCTCATGGTCAATTAATTTTATTTTTTTCATAAAAATTAATTACATAATTTCTTCTAAATTATACACTTTAAAATGAATTTTGACGGTACTCCTCACGGGATCTACTAGTTACTTTTAGTTTATTTATTGAGGAATAACAAGGGAAAAATAAGATCAATTCATATCATATCACTAAATAGTCCTAAATATCTAAAGCATTATTATGCTAACTTACCAGGATTCATACCCCTATTGGCCAATAGCAAGCTTAGTAATTTTTATTGGACTTTTTCGTTTACCCATTGGTGCTTGATTTGGTCAAGTTTCTAAGTAGGACCCACACGAACTCATCTGATTTCCCAATCATCTAGCAGGTACAGAACGGGCAAAGCCAAGAATAGTGGGCGTAGTATTGTTGTTTAACAAGAGTGGGTGACCTATTGGACCCTTACGGCCTAACAGGAGGCCCAACCCAAGAGTGTTCGGATAAGTGAGGGTAGTAAAGTAATTGCACATCCATTGTCGGCTGCTATAAAATCGGGCGCATCGGCCATTACGAAAACCCTAGTTTGCGCGGATCGCCGTCTCGGTCTTGGGCGCTCAAAGCAGCGACGGAGGAGACGGCAACCACAAACATGGAGAACGCCGTGGCCAAGACCGTGAAAGACGTCTCGCCCCACGAGTTCGTCAAGGCCTACTCCGCCCACCTCAAGAGATCCGGCAAGGTCCGATCCATCTTCTCCTCCTCTATCGTTTGTGTTCTCACTCTTTCTACGTAATCGTGTTATTTTATCGTTTGTCGTGATCCTTTTAGGATTTATATCTCAGGTTTTGGTACCGTAGATCCACTTTTACTTTCTATCTGGTAGATCTGATTGCTTTGGTAGTGCGTATTATGTAGACGTCGAACAATGGGTAGAGGACTTTCTGTTTCTTGACATGGAACGGTTTGATCCTGAGCTGCTGTCTCCTAGTTTTTCTGGACTCAGCACTTACGAATTGCGAGTGCTGATTCAACAAATTTTCTGTAATGTATTATGATTGGGGTTTGCAATTGGACTGGAAATGCCTTAAGCATAGATCATTGTGCATGAGGGTTGGTTTTGTTTTTGTAGGCTGCAGCATTTGAATTGAATGAGTAATCAGGCTTTTTGTAGATTGAGCTTGGTAATAGTGCTCTTTTAGTAGGGTTTCTTTTATTGTGTAGTATAATTTGGTCTACCTGTATTTGACAGATGTGCTATTTACTACCCAATATTGAAGTGAGACTTTGAAATTTCTATTGTGAATTATATATGAGATCCATAGAATCTGCAAAGAAAATTGAAATTGTTATTTTAATTAGATCCAAAAAAATGTCTAATATTAGGGGAAATGGTGTCAGAAGGGACGATGGCATAAAGGTTCAGGCCAGGTTCTATAACAAATTGTGAATGTTATCTTATTTACTAATAAGAAGGCAAGGCAGAGTAAAGCTTGGCCAAGGGCATCTATTTATATAAAAGCTTGAATGGTGTGTAAAAATCATAAATTTGTTTATCTTAGTGCATTCACATAGCTTGCTGTGTTACTTATGCTAATATTTCTGCTTCTATGCACTCTTTCTGTTATAATGCTTTGTGGTATAGCTGACCCCAACCAAGTGCTTTCAAGTACTTACAGTTGCTTAGGTAATTAAGTAAAGAAGCTTAATCCTCTGTCAAAGCATTACTGGTGACTGTTGATTTTCTGTATTTCATTCTTCCACTTCCTGTCATTTGGCCCAGATACCAGATATTCCTATGGTTGTTAATCTTCTGTTGCAGTAGGTCCTTTTTTTCCATGTCTCTGAACCACCCCTTATCTAACATGTGCCACTCTTATAGTTGGTTTTGAGGCTAATTCTCTGTCATGCTCCTGTAGTTGTTTTTTTAAAGTAAATTTTCTGTGGTTGGCTATTATCTGAGGATTGAGAACTCAAGAAACACAGAAAAAGCAACTATGTGATTTGCTGGAGATATCAGTTGTACTCTATATGCTTCTATCGTCACCTGAAAGAAGCACAATTGTTTTTGCACTTTGGATAAACCCTTCTCGATAATTATTCTGATTCTATTTCTCTCACCGATTTTATCGATAGATGGAGCTTCCTGAGTGGACGGACATTGTGAAGACTGGAAGGTTCAAGGAACTTGCTCCTTATGATCCTGATTGGTACTACATCAGGGCTGGTAATGTCACACTGATGATAACCTCCATAATAGCACTGATGTTGCTGGGAGAGATTATTGGTCACATCAGTTCTCATTTGATGCTAATGTCTTACATTTAACTGCTGCAGCTTCAATGGCAAGAAAGATATACTTGAGGCAGGGCATTGGAGTAGGTGGCTTTCAGAAGATATATGGAGGTCGTAAGAGGAATGGAAGTCGCCCACCACATTTCTGCAAGAGCAGTGGGGCAATTGCTCGCCACATTTTGCAGCAGTTGGAGAGGATGAATATCATTGAAATTGAACCTAAAGGGTAAGGATTCCATGCATCATAATGTCATTTTGTTCTCGCCGTCTGGATGGTGTTCCTGGTTACTTTACCCACTTTTTTTTTTTTGTTCTCTAAATGAACACTGAAAGCTCCTGTTATTTCTATGGTATGATAATTCACATTGTGGCATTGCTAGTTCAAACAAACTCGAAATGCCTTTTGAGATTACTTGTTTTACATCTCGATAAATAATATATCTCTTGGCTACACGAGTAACAGTTGATAGTTGCTGCATCTTTTATGATGTCTGCATTCCATACTATCTTTTACAAGGGTAATTTATAGACATTTCAGGGCACCTGAAATAATGTTTATGTTATATTCAGACTAGAGCATGCTAATATCTTTATTCATTTTAATGTCCTGTACTATTTTCTATGATGATATAATAGATGAATGCCTCTGACTACTTGTTGCAAAATTTAGAACATTTCAGTTGCACCTAAAGACTATGTAGATGGGATATAATACTCCATATGTGAGAAGCCTGATAAATTAGAGCATGATAACATTATTTTTTTGCACCACCATGATTTTCTTTGTTCAGTTATATTAGATGGCATATTTCAGTAATGTTTTTTATGCTTGTAATGTTTTTAGTGGGAGGAAGATTACATCTCAGGGGCAGCGGGATCTCGATCAAGTTGCTGGTCGTGTCTAGATGCTGACTTTGATCATGCTTTGGTTTAAATCTCATCAGTTATAAACAATATTGCTCAGAGCTTTAGCATCAAAGTTGTATTAATTACAAGTTAACTTGTTTGGTGATTTTGACATGATTTATTTCTTGTATTAGATGATTTTCCTGCTTGAGATAAATGTTGGGTTTACTTTAAAGAGACTTTGTTTCATTTCAATGTTGCTTTGAGACGTTATGCTGCATCTACTTTCTTGTTTGTCCAATTAGTTGTGGGATTCTGTTTGGCAAAATCAAAATGCAGTTATTTGATGAATTGGATGGGTATGATGTCACAAACTATATAGCATATTAACTATCTCATTTATGAAAGGAATTATCAGTTAACCCATGACAAAATAGTGTGTTTGAATGTCTAAGACTCTTTACTGAACTCTTATAGTTACATTGTGGATTTGAAGGTAGGCATTTGGTGCCCATATGAAATTTTTTCTTTGAGAGAGGGAGAGAGGTTGTAATTGGCTTTAGGATGGTTGGGGGTTAAAGTGTTGAAAGAGCTGCCCAATTAGATCAAACTGTGAAGACTCGAACATCTATCTGCTAAAAGTTGTGCTCAAGTCTCAAGTCTAGTTATGGTTATAGGTTAAATGTCCATAAAATCATCTTTCCATCAAGCAGGGCATGGTTCTGACAGAGATACTTATAGCCTCTAGAATGAGATATAGACGATTATAAAGCTAAATTGACACCACAAGTATTTATAGCCTCAAGAGTGAGATTTTTTTATAAAAGAAGTAATTGTCCAAATACAAAAGAAATAAATAAAAGTGGACAAGTCGTGCAAAATTTGCATGGCACCCATCAAAGAAATAAATAAAGAAAGAAAAAAAGAAAAAAAAATCATTTTAGGAGAGTTTTACATCTCTCTTACAACACACAACAATGCAATATGCCAAGAAACTCGTAACATAATTCCTCGAATACACACTGCACACCTGCAATTTCATAAAGAACCCCAGCGTCTAGAAGAACCTCAGATGTTGACTTCCAACGGCAATTAGAAACTCATACATCTTATTCTGATATCCAAACTTTATGTTGCCTTGTAAAACTGAAACATCAACTCATCTATACAAGTGAATCATCTAAGCACACACATTCTGTACATAAGAAAATATTTTCTGAAATCCATGCAGACGTAATCTTCCGAGCAAAGTAAGTGATGAAGGAACTCTGAATGGCTGGAAATCCTCTAAGAATCGGATGTCTTTCTTACGGTTCCTTTAGGCGGCGGTGCATATGGAAATCTTGGCTCCTTCGGAACTGTCTGGGGTTTTGTTGATCTTCCTCATGCCAACAAAGTTTAATTAGAAACAGGAGATCACAGAATGAATGAGTTGAATTTAGCTGCTGAATTTAAAGACAATAATGGTAGCTGCTTACTTTCTTGGGACCGATGGTTGATCAAAGCAAGGCATGGGTTGTTGAGCTTTTAGCACAAGTTCTTTTCCAAGTCTTCTTTTTTCCTCTTCTTCTTCTTCTTCCACCTAATCAAACAATGGTAACGTCTTCAATAAGAATAATAGATGTAGCAAGAAATGACAATAAAAAAATCCAAGTACTTTCATGTTTTCTTAGACTCTATACGTCCATTTATAGTGAATGTAGAGTATGAACCTTCTTCTGCCGTTCTCTCTCCATTTTCATTTGCTCCACAAAGCTCATACTCTCAGCAACCTGGAAAAAACGATGTCACAAATAACTTCTACTTGGATGTTAAAATGTAAACAACTTCTACTTCTGAGAAGTGATGTTCTTGTGTCAAAATTTGTACTGATAAATACTATAAAATCGTAAGTTTGATCAGAATAATCTCAATGAAACAAAATGGAGTTCCAGTGTTGTAAAGGATGTAGAAAGCTTACATGAAGATCAAACTCGGCACGTTCTGCTGCATGTGCGTCACTGTGAAGAATAAGATCAATTGGTTCTGTTGGTTCCTTTACGTGAGGCTTTATCAGAATCTGAGTTAAATTAAAATTTGAAAGGTCAGGTTTAGATCTAAAAAAGCAATCTATCCATTAAAGACAACAATGTTACTAGGAAAACTAAGAAAATTGAACTCTCAATCAGAATGAAAGCAACCAAAGTCTCAATTAGTGAAAATTTACTGTCTACTGTAACAACAAACACATGAATATTCAGCAAAAATATTGGTTTTTTTCAGAGTTTTTTACCTGATAATTTTCTGTTGGACTGATACAGGATCTCGATAGCCTAATGTTAGAATATAAGTAATTAATTTCTATAAAAGAAAGGGTAAATTTTCAAGAAAAGTTTATCTTTTTGTGTGTTTTTCGGGAGATGTCCCATTTTCAGAATTTTCTGACAGTGATTTTTTTTACTGAATATTCAGAATAACCCAGCCACATACTTTTTTTTTCCTCTCTTTTCCTATGGACCGATCCATCAGGTGAACTGGTCGTGTTATAATGTTTTAAACAATATAGAAATACATTGTAACATGGTAAAAAAAATTATAATGCATTATTTTTGTACTATGTTATAATGTTTTCTTAATATTGCTAAAAATATTATAACACAGTATTTTTGCACTGTGTTACCATGTTTTTCTATACTGCGAAAAACATTGTAACTAGACCTGTTCATCCTATGGATCGATCCATAGCAAAAAGAAAGAAAATGAATAGATGATTGATTGTCAAATTAAGAGTATTTTAGGTATTAGATAAAAATGAGGGCACTATTAGGAAATTCTAGAAATTAGTATTTTTTTAGAAAAGTTCGAAATGAAAACTCAATGTAGCATATGTTTCGCTTGAAATGAAATGTTGATTATTTTAATAGACACAAAAGTAGAAGTGAAACAATTGAGTGGCCTGTCGGAAATATCTGCGGTTTTTAAACACAAATATTATTCAATTGTCACTGACAGAATATCTCCACAAGCAAATATTGGTTGTCTTTTCTATATTATGTTCAACTTAAAGCACTTCAAAACATGGATTTTGAGTTGCCCTTTCTATGTTATGCCAAAATCGAAAGATTTGGATGCAGTCTCTTTTAAGCTGTACTCTAACTGATGAAGAAGCAATGAACATTTGTGATAATCTTCAGATCTAATGAAATTGTCATCATATTGCATTTTCTATTCCCTCTGCTAGTTCTGTGCCTTAGCACAGTGAAAGAATTTGGTTTTCAGAATGGCAAAATTTTGTTAAATATCAAGCTAGATAAGATGCAAAAAATAATTATGATTGTTTGGTGGTACCTCGTGTTCATCTGTAGTCCAGGGAAGCCTCTGCGCAATTGGTGTGCATCTTTTCTTCTCCAAAAGCATTTCCTTCACCATCTTGATGAACTGCTCTTCTTTGAATCTTCCTCTTTGCTGCATAAAAAATAAAATTCATTCACAACAGTGAGGATCCAATTCATCAATCATGCACTTTCATTTTTATATTCATGACTATAACATTCCCAATTATTTGGGATCGATTGCGTGAATCACTTTTTGTTGTTGAGCTTAAATAACTACATAACATCGATCAACAATTTTTCTATAAGTTGATCAAGATAAATGCTAATGCACACAGACGGAGAAAGAAAAAGGTCATGTTTCACTTCATGATTCCTAAAATTGGTGGCCTTGAATATAGTAACTACTATCCAGGAAATGACATGCCCACATATAATGAATGGTATTCATCCTCAATGGAGAAAACCACAAGACTATAGCTTTTCATTTTGACATCTTCTTGTTGAACTGAGACCAAATGTATTCCAGAAAACCAACAAAATCTGGACTGCAAACAAAATTTCAAGGTCCCTCGCCCGACAGAAAATCCAAGTCCTCCCAAAAGAAGTTCCAGCCAGACTACCAAATCAGTATAGTTGCAATAAAGGTTTGCAATACTCTGTTTGCATCCAGCTTAATTTCTTGAACTTTGAAAGAACTGCAGGGTCGTGTTCATCAACCAGGAAACATCATTCACTTGCCTATCAATTTTCCTTGAAACTCAAGGATCGGAGCATTTTGCTGCTTTGCATATCTTAAGGTGATTACCCAAACAAACTGAGTCATCTGTTAATCTTGCAAACATTTAGTCAAATATGTAATTTGCTGGTACCTCAGTCCTTAACTTGAAAGGCGGCTGGGTTTTCACTTTAAGCTTCTTGCTCCTACTCCTTCCTGAGGAACCAGTGCTCTGGAACAGAAAGACAAACATGTATAACACATGTACTTCACATTCAAGAGATATCAAAGAGGAAAGAGTCAGTATAAAACAACAAGAGAGAGATAAACATCAAGTATCCTCGTACATTTTGTTGGTTCTTTCGCCCTACATCTGTTTCATCGCTCCCACAGCTCAATCTGCATGAATAAGATGAATGATCAGACACGACATTAGACAACAAAAAGTGAAGCAAAAAATGCTGTAATTGTATCGAATCTATTCGAGACTTCTTGATCTTATTACTGACCTTTCGTCCTTGTCGTCCTCCGTAGGTAGGAATTCTGTCGAACGTGTAACAGGCGAAGAGGAAAGCTCGGTTACCTTCGCTCTGGGCGGATGCTGCAAGCCAGGCAAGGCCCAATTCATCACCTTTCGCTTCATTTCTAAACTCCTTTCGCCCACTGTCTCCTTGGAGATGGAAAGAAGTCTCTCAAATGTCTTCACCAAATACATCACGCGCCCGGCCCCTGGCTCCGGCAGGCCTCTCATGGCCTCCTCCAGCATCAATCGCCTCATCATCCTCGCCTTCGAACTCCCATCCAAATCTTTAGCCTCCTCGTCTTCTACCACCATTCGCTTGCTGCCCTCCGGTGTCTTTGCATTCTCCTTCACAGGGGCAGGCGATGACGAGAGCGTCCGGACCGGGGTTTTAGGGGCTGCTTTCTTCGACTTTGCAAGGGTGGTTGCAGGAGACCTCATCCGCCGTCGGCAAGGAGTGGAAACAACAAGATTGGGGTCAAGGTTTTCAGAAAGCTTCAAGATTTCCGAGGTCGCCATTCTTGCTCTTTTGCTCTTAACAATTTGATCACGGAGATGACCAGAGGAGGGCGAAATGGTCGGAGGGGAGCAGAAGCAAAAGAAAACGGGGTTTTGAGAGAGAGAGAGAGAGAGAGAGAGAGAAGGTGAACTGGAACGTTGGGCGTAAGAGAGGAGAGGGGCACGTAACGGCTAGTTTCCATAGTGGGCGCGGGTAGCCAAACATAACTTAAATTAATGGAAACCACATCATTAGCCGTTAATTAATATTTATTAACCATAATTTTTTCAAAAAATATTTTTATTCAGAAAAATAAAAAAATCTCACTTATCATTCTAATATTTTTAATATTTATTAAAAATGAATATATATTTTTATTTAAATTAATAAGTAAACAAATAGAATAAATGAATGAATATATGCATGTAATCTTTTCAAAAATTATATAATAATAAATAATACAATCATATAAATAAATATATAATAAGTTAAAAAATAAATAAACAAAATTTTAACTTATAATAAACATAAATCATATTTTTTTTTGTAAATCATATTGATAATTAATCTTATAATTTTAAATAAGATCATTGGATACTTAAGAAACTTGAAAACTTACATTAGCATCTCACAAAAGTTGAAATGCTAATGCTGTCCTAAGGTACTATCAGCATCCAAATTAAATTTTATTTTGAAAAAAATTATCAAACACTAATACATGTTTGAAATGTAATATTTCAAATGTATTCTCAAACACACTCTTGTAGCATTGCTTTTATTTTTGTTTGATCATTTACTTAGGCAATTTTTAATTGTTTTCCCTTTGATTAGCATAGCACAACAACCATGCTATTTTGTTGGATTAATATTTTTATTATCCTCTCAGCAATGGCTTTGAAGGGCATTGAGTGATTTTTATTCTTATTTGTAACTCAGTTCTTCCCTCTATCTAAATCATTATCCTTCTTTTTGTCTTAATCCTCTATTCCTATTAGAAGTTATCACAAAGTTCATACATGGAACACCCTTCAACACTATGTTGCAGAACAGTGAAACAAGTAGAATACTTCACCTTAATTATAGCAGATTTAGTTGGTATGCCTCATATATTGTTTGATTGCAGTACTAAACAAAGAAGAGAGAAGATGGTTCTCCCCAGGACCATCTCATCCACCATGAAACAAGGAAAAGAGGATGGTCCCTCTTGCATAAAGATTCCAGTTTGGTTGACTCGTTTTTTGAGTGTTCTCCAAGCACTGCTGGTGAGATATTGCTCAGCAACACATGCTCCATGATTACATAGACAAGAGGAACACATGCACCTGCATGATTGGGACCTATAATTTAAAGTGCTTATAGCCTTCATGCATCTCCTTCGTTTTAGCTTCTTGTATCAACTCCTAGGTAGGCATTTGAAGATTCATGCATGCAGAAACCTAGGTTCTCATGGCTTGTCTGGTTGATCACATTTGTCATTTAGTTCTATCATCCTGTTTGCAGAAACCTTGACATTTTTCAGCTTAATTCAGAACCAATCTCTCTCAGATAATCTTTGCATCCAGACACCCCATGATCCTTCCTCCCAGTTCAGTATAATGCCTATATTTTGAGGGACCAGTTCAGTGTGGTTCTTAAAATAGAAGAAGGTGATCATCCTTTTCATATGCAGCTTCTTACTATCATTGTTTTCCTCTCCAATTATTCGTGGTAATAAATGATGATCAAATTATTATTTTACATTGAAGTTTTAACTAAAACAAATATATGAAATTGCTTACAGATGGCAACACAACTCATTCAGTTGCTGCACTTGTAGGAAAGAAATATAGCTTTCTTCTAGAAAGGTATGTGGTGGTTCTTTTCTTGCATTTGAAGTAAGGAAATTAGATCTAGTGAGCTCCCACTGAGGCTTGGATCACAATCTAGTAAAACAATGGTTGATAGAGATGGTCAGACTTAATTCTGTATCACCTCTGATCTAACTATAAATTCCATTGGCAAGTCTATTTCTTGAGCCATTAGGAAGATTATCACATCTAATATAGAACTTAAAAAGTACAAAGCCATGTTAGGCTGTGATTGATACAGGATAATGGAATGTGCAAAGAGTGCAGCCTGAGGCATTTCACAAGCAGGCCAGCACATGAAAGTGTTGGCCAGATATCATATAAATTGTTGAAAGACAGATTAATAATGATTTGCTTTGGTGTATCTAATTCCAGACATGTTTCCTACCTTCCAAGAAAGTCTGAGTAGAACCCAACCTGCTGAACTGTTCAAGAGAAGAATAGAGAAGAAAAGAAGATTCCTGCTACCTGAACTGATGATTGTGTCAGTAATAGCATTTATCTAAATTTAAGAAAACAATTATTCACAGGTTTGGATGATAAAAAAAGTTTGACTAGTGTCAAGTTTAGCAGTTCATTTCATTTACTCTTCTGATTCAAATCCCAAGCAGCAGGAGAACTTGTACAGCTATCCAATGATAAGAAGAGGAGGCCCAAAACACCAGAACTGCAATGGATTTTAGGTCAATCCAGATTAAAGCAATGGAGGGCAAACTTCCTGTGCTACTTCCACTTTTTAGTCAATATGCAGAAGGATCCTCTGCTTTATTCATTGCTACACTCCCTCTCTCCCTTAATTCTCTTTCTAAAGTATAATACTTTTTAGATGAACATCATAATTGGAGTATAAAGGTCAGAACAAAGAAAAATGTTGCTCAATTTTGTTCCTGTAAATACTGTATGCAGTGCTATGTCATTGTCTAAAATATTAAATGTTTCTTGGTTGCACTGTGTTCTGTTTGGTATTTGTTTCATTCAATGTGAAACTTTGAGTATTATGGCATTGCTTATGTTTCTTCTTGACTTTCTTTTGCACTGTTTTGTTGAAATAGAGACACTTCCATTGAAACTATTTCCTCAGTGCTAAGAGAGGTGCCTACAGCAGACAAGACCTAAACCACCCACAGAATTTGCCCTCACCTGAGTCCAAGTTGACCTTTCACCAAGAGAAGAGCCCTTCTCTAACTCAGAGGCTTTGGATCATGCACAAGTTCTACAAAGAGGGGGTCCCACATTTGACCTTTTCCCAGCCCTCAAAGGGCCATCCTAAGCTACAGGTAGTGACACCTGCAGGTTCACAAGAAGCACGGGAGTTTCAAAGGGAGGAGGAGGAGGAATGGTGGTAGTTTTTGTATCATCCTTTCTTGTGTGCACATCCACTCGACAAGTGACACAGAAAGCAGAGAGTTCTCATCCAGCACAAAGCCCCACCTTGGAAGAATACTTCCTTCCCTTTTCCATTGTTCCCATGGGCCACCAGGTGGGGGAAGACAAAGGAACGGTGTCAGGGGCAGCTGGATTTTGGTGGAGGATCCGACCTCTTTCTTGCCATGATCACCGCCGTCTGATGAGGAATGACACAGCATAGAATCCTCGGTTGAGTACACGTGCTAGTTTTCTCTCTCTCTCTCTCTCTCTCTCTAACTTTGCTTCTATGCATGGATTTTCTCCTCCCCTGCACCGCCCAATGGCTACCAAGGGGAGAAAAAGCTCGATGGAAGCTACCACCACTCTCCTTCCTCTTCTCCCTTTCTTTCTCTGTAACTGCTTGCACAGAAGCTAAAACCTCCCACAGCTGCTACAAGATATCTTCACACTACACGAGGAAGAAGAGAAAGCAGGGCAGTTGGAAGCAGAGAGAGAGAGAGAGAGAGAGAGAGAGAGAGAGAGAGAGAGAGAGCTGGGGCAATTAGATCTTGAGCCGAGAAATCAGGAAGCCTCAAAGATCTAGGGGAATTTCTTGAACCCATTTGAGCTCGTAAACTGTCCGTTCTTGATCTTGGCCAGTGCACGCACTCGGATGGAAGGAGATCGGCTGACGCCGGCGCCGGGGCTGCTGCCGTTGTCGAAGCACCGCTGCAAGGTGTGCAGCAGGAGCTTTCCGTCAGGGAGATCTTTGGGTGGCCACATGAGGTCTCACGTCAACGTGGCCGCCAAGTCGCCCTCGTCTGACGAGCGGCGGAGGGAGAACCCCAGGAAGACTCGGAAGCGATCGGATTCCGGCGGTGGAGGTGGAGAGGTGCAGTGCAAGGAGTGCGGGAAAGAGTTCCTGTCCTGGAGAGCGCTCTTTGGGCACATGAGGTGCCACTCCGAGAGACCTTACGAGGAGAGAGGAGAGCGTGACGGCTCCTGCAGCAATGCCGGCCATTGCAATAGCCTCGAGAACCAATTCGACAGCGAGGCCGCAGCAGCAACCGTTTCACGGAAGATGCTCTCGAAGTGGATCGGTCTGGCCTCTGTTTGCTCCTCTTCAGCTTGCCAGTACGAGCCCGAGGACGAGGACGGCGCCATCAGCCTCGTGCTGCTCTCGAAGGGTGTCAGACACTGGAGCGGCGGCTGCAGTGAGTCTCCGAACAAGGATTCAGAGGTTCCTGAGAGCTCGGACTTTGTCTCAGATGGCAGTGAGAAGAAGGGATTCGAGTTAGATGATTTAAGAACCGAGTTCAAGAAGGTGGAATCTGATGCTTCCGATGCTGGGATTGTTAGGGATGACATGAACCCTGATAGCTCCAAGCAAGATCTGAGCTCTGCTGTTACCGAACCAAGCATGAAGCCTGGATTCGATGCAAGTGGTGTTCGACTCGGAAAGAATTCTTCAAGCACACTGGAGAGATCGGATGGTTGCTCGGACAAGACCACCAAGAAGAGAAGCTGGTTCGACTGCAAGCCCTGCAACAAGGTTTTCCGCTCCTACCAAGCTCTCGGAGGCCACAGAGCAAGGCACAAGCGGATGAAAGGCTGCCATGGCCACAGGCTCCATGGCGTTGACAACAGCATGGAGACAGATGGTTCGATTAATGGAACAGCAACGGAGGAAACCTTCGGTCGCCATGGATCACCCAAGTCGACCAAGGGTCATCGGTGTCCGATCTGTAGTAAGTTCTTCAGCTCCGGCCAGGCTTTGGGCGGTCACAAGAGGTCTCACTTGGTGGCAAACACTGCTTGCCCCGTTGTGATTCCTCGCCAGCCATTCAAGATGTCCCAGTTGCTCGATCTCAACCTTCCTGCTAATGGAAGCGACGACTATGGTGGACGGGAGTCAACCTCAAGCACGAGCTACTGTTTCATCCACTAACAGGTCCAGTTGCTGCTGACAGTTGACCTTTGACCTCTGTTTTCTCAGTTGCTTCTCCTTTACATTGTTTTGTCCAATAAACCGATGTTGAGGTTATGACATCCTATGAATCAGTGGTTTGAAGCTCCAAAGAAGCTCAGTTCTCGACAGTGTTCATCAGCAATGATCATTCTATTGAAATATTGATTGCATGTTGAGTAAAGGTCATCTGTAAAACAGAGGTATCCTGAAAACTTCATTTAATCTGCAATTGCTGTAACTTCAGTTCTCATCAAAATGATGTAGTTTTCAATTTCTATTCCACTTGTTTTAGCAATTTAGTGTAAATTCTTTCTTGTTCCTGATTGAGGAGTCAATTTCCGGAGAAGATTTAGTTCATCTGACAATGGGAATTTTTCTTGGCATGTGAATTCACTTGATGAAGAAAACAAAGGAAAGTAAGTAATGACAAGATCTTAACAACTGTTCTTCAAGTGATCATTCATTGAATACAACTGCATCTTGTCACTATCTCTCTTGACCTCCTGCAAATAAGATACCAGCAAGAGTAGAAGCAGATATCTTTTGATATCTACTGTGTTGGTTTGCTATGACAATCTGCTGAACTGTATCTAAGTTGGGAACAAGTGACTTGTGAAATCTTCTATACTTCATCACTTTTTGATGGGAATTATTAATGATTAGTCAGTGGTTATATTTACCTAAACATTGAGAATTTAATTCTTGCTGATACTACAAATGAATGATATTATTATTCATCCATAATTGTTCTTGAACAAGATTTCAGACAGAACCTTTTGACTCCACACAATAGCCATGGACCAAAATGCTTACATCAAATCTGACTGGGAGCAATGGAAATCGGTTTCTACATCTCAAGAACAATAATTGGATGATCCATTTTCTCTGTTGACTTCTCTTTTTCCCTGATAAAAAATCCTGTGGATGGCATACACAGAAACTTCATTCTTCACCTGTGTCTATCTATTACACCTCCATCAAGAACAAAGCTCTTCCTCGCCCACATTTGGTGTCTTTAGCTTTCCATGCTCTACTAAAGTAGGGTAGTGCTTGAACATATCTACTGCACTTCGACACTAACTTTTCTCAGTGTCATGTCTTCAACGTTGGACTGGTTAGCATTAGGTTAACTTTGACACCAACTGAGAAGACTTCTGTTCACTTTCCATCCACTTCCCCACTCTACTGTCACACACCAAGTGGATGTAGTACATGCATGATAATGACTAAATACATAGGACATGAAGATTCTTCTATTGGATAGGTAGCATATCCATAATGTCTACAAATTGATTCAACTTCATCTTTGTCCACTGGGAAGAGAGGGCTACATGTTGCTGAGTCTTCCTTTTCTCTTGCAAGTTTATTCTCCTGCACTGAATTAGGTTGGCTGCAACATTACTTGGAGAAAACTCTGCAATCCTCTCCTGATTGATGGTAGTATTTACAACATGGAGAGTGATGGTCTTTGCTCTAACCTAATGACTGGTTCTGGAACTGTTTGTGTTCTATATTTTCTTTAGGATTGCATTTCTTGCTACAACAGCTGTTATTTCCTTTTCCATTTTGTTCTTCTATATTGGACCTTAAGAGGCCTTCCCATTTGATTTTGGTGTTGTCTTTTAACTCTTAAGGCTAGACTGTTAATTCTGATAATAGTAATAGAATTTTCTTGGTTTGGTATCAAAATCATTGAGTTGAGCTGATACTACCAACTCCAGGTGAGATGAGTTGTGCAAAAACCCTATGGCAAGAATTTGGAGCTCCAATTCCATCAAGTCAAAATCATTAATGGTGGTTCAAATTGGCAGCTCTGTTTGATATGATCTGTGATGCTTGGAAAGACTTCAAAAAAAAAAAAAAAGGTTATTTTTTAATATTTGAGATATGTATGAAAAGAAGGAAAGATAAGCAGTTTAAATGAGATTTTTTGTTGCAAAATAAATTCAAAAAAGTAGGATATTATAAGCATGGTGTATTTCATGAATCTGTGATGGTATATCAATCAATGGTGCTTAATTCACATATGTATAATTCTGCTACAATCTATCCTAATGAATGAAATCCTTTATGCAAATTATAATTGTGATAATATAGTATTCTACAATTATAATATATGTGGAAACAGAAATAAGAAACAAAACAAGATGGAATAACTTAATTCTTTATATAAATATATTTTTTGCTTAATTTTTCATTTAATTTAGCTAATTTATGAAGTATCAAATCAGCTGTATGCGCTATGTTTTTTTTTTTTTTTGGAAAAAAATATATGCTTAAAAAATCTAATGCACCCAATGCTTTGTTCATCAGAGCACAAAACAAAGGATAAATCATCATACAATTTAGCTTCATATTTTTTTTGAAGGATATATTAAAGGGTTAAATATAAAAATTATTTATTTTATTTCAAAGGTGTATATATGTGAACAAAATAGTGGTGGCAACAGAGCATTGGTTTGCATTACTACCCCCAGTCAATGAGATCAAACATCATAGGTTGATATGAGCTGCTAAATGTATCGAGTTGATGTCATGACCACTTCAATATGACACCTTAATTGAACTGTTGTGAGTGGATGAGTCTCTCCAAATGCCAGGATCAGATTGTGGTGTTGGATACCAACTTGTCAATCTTGAGGTAAATCTGTGTCATGAGATTACAGTCCATGAGAAGGTTGATTTCCACGCACGGGAAGCTTCCTTGTTGTTTGCGCAGCCAAAGTAGATTTGGATTTGAAGCCTCGAACAAAGGAGTTGTTGTTCGCGAAGATGGCGCTATCAGAGTGTTAGAACTGCAAGAAATCCTGCAGCTTTGCGCAAGGAAACAGTTAACCAGGGAGGGGAAGTGTTGTCATGGTTTAGCTGTTCAAGCTGGTCTGCTTGCGGATACTCTCACGTGTAACATCTTGATCAACTTCTACTCCAAATGTGGTCGTGTCGACTTTGCTCGTCGCCTGTTCGATGGAATGCCTGAACGGAGCCTGGTCACATGGAACACCATGATTGCCACGCATACTCAACATGGGGAAGACATGGAGGCTCTGCATCTTTTCTTGCAGATGCGTCGAGAAGGGTCTTTGCTCAGTGAATTCACGTTGTCAAGCGTGCTTTGTGCCTGTGCTGCCAGATGTGCTGTCACGGAAAGCCAGCAGTTGCACGCTTTGGCCCTCAAAACTGCTGCTGATTCCAATGTGTTTGTTGGGACTGCAGTGCTCGACGTGTATGCGAAGTGCAAGATGATTCGTGATGCGCGGCTGGTGTTTGACGCGATGCCAGAAAAATCGTCGGTGTCATGGAGTTCTATGGTCGCAGGCTACGTGCAAAATGATCTTTACGAGGAGGCGGTTTGGTTCTTCCATCATGCTCACAAGATGGGAGTGGAATTGACGCAGTTCACACTTTCTGCTGCTCTCAGTGCATGTGCTAGCATAGCAGCAAGCACAGAAGGAAAGCAGCTGCATTCAGTGGCGATAAGAGCTGGTTTCGCTGCCAACCTATTTGTAGCTACCTCGCTGATCGATGTCTACTCAAAGTGCGGATGCATAAGGGAAGCTTACTTGGTCTTCTGTAACGTGGAAGACGAGAACATCGTCTTATGGAATGCGATGATCACAGGCTTCTCCAAACACGCTCGACTACACGAAGCCATGATGCTGTTTGAGAAAATGCGGCAGAGAGGGCTACAGCCCAATGAGGTCAGCTACGTATCTGTGCTGTCCGCATGCAGTCATGTGGGTTTGGTCGAAGAGGGTCGTGGATATTTTGACCTGCTGTCGAGAGATGCTGCCGTTCGACCAAATGTCCTTCACTATTCTTGCATGGTCGATGTTCTTGGCCGGGCTGGGAGGATCGATGAAGCTTGGGAATTGATCAGGAGTATGCCATTCAGGGCCAGTGCCTCCATGTGGGGATCTATGCTTAATTCCTGCCGTGTCCATGGCAATGTCGAACTGGCGAAAATTGCAGCTCAGCATCTGTTTGAGCTCGAACCTGAGAACGCAGGAAACCATGTTTTGCTGTCGAACATATATGCTGCAAGCAAACAATGGGGAGAGGTTGCTGTGGCTCGGAAGTTTTTGAAGGATAGTGGCGCAAGAAAGGAGATAGGAAAGAGTTGGATTGATGTGAGAGGAAAAGTTCACAGCTTTGTTGTCGGAGAGAACAAGCATCCAAGAATCAGTGAGATTTATGCTAAGTTGGAGGATCTTAGGAGGGAGATGAACAGGTTAGCTTACAAGGTTGAGGTACATTACGACCTTCATGATGTAGGGGAAGGGCAAAAGGAGGAGCTACTAAGACACCACAGTGAGAGATTGGCACTTGCTTTTGGTCTTATTGAGTTGCCCAGCGGGACACCGATCAGGATATTTAAGAACCTAAGAGTGTGTGGGGACTGCCATTCGTTTATGAAAACGGCTTCGATGATCACTGACAGGGAAATCATTGCTAGAGATACAAATCGATTTCACCACTTTAGCAGAGGACATTGCTCCTGTGGGGATTTCTGGTAACAAAATGGTTCGATTTCATGGTTTATGGTTTGTTGATCAGTTCATCAAAGGTCCTAATTTTGGACTTCAAATGATGAGTTGCATGCATATTGGGAATGGTCCGTTTATGCAGCTCTAGAAAGTGGAACAGTAGGTCCAATCATCTCTCGGTCGGTGACATCTTCACCTCCTTGACGCTCTTGCCGTACGAGGAGTATGCCGCCTGCCGCTTCGCTACCTCAAACTGCGACATCCCGTCTGCAAAGGCGAAGGATCGCGGTGGTAGAAGAGTCACATTTTTTTTGGACTACAGTATTTTTTAATTCATTGATTTGGATCGTGATAAATGGTATCAGAATAAATTTAAAATGGAGTAGAGATGATCGAAGAGACATCATGTGCATTATACTATGATCATTTTGAGTTTTATGTGAATCTTGACGATGATATGAACTCTTTAAGTGGAGGAGATAGTAAAATTGGTGAACTGCCTGACAAAAGAAAGATGACAGTGACACAGGTTCACAATCCTCTTGCAAAACCTCTAAGCCTTGCAAACCAATTCACCTCTCTAAGTTTCTCCCTCTCAACATAATGCCTATATATATAAACTTCACCAGGATCCACCACAGAGCCATTTGACTAATCTGAAAGGAGAGATTATAGGGAAGCAGCATCGTACGCTATTGAAGCATCAGGAATCAGTCAGAGAACTGCAACTAGTGGAGCTACTTTGCTTTCTTGAAGAGATAAGACGGTCTCAAAGGCACCAACTAAGGCCCTCACCTTGCTCTTCCTAGACTCAACAAGCTGACTTGCAGTTTCCGCGATCACGTTATTGAACAGACCTTGAGTGTCTTTCTTATCAACAACATTTTGATGTCTCAGAGCAACATTAATAGCATTTGAGAGAGCAGTACTTGGCCCTGCACCTTCAGATTTCATCCTGTTTTTAGAGCCCTTTGTTTCTATTTCTTTAGGCTTCTGGTTGCCACCGACTGTTTTAACCTGCCTGAGTCTGAGTTTAATTGGAGCACTGTTATCAGACCGCAAGTCAACCACCTTCCTTCTGCTGAAATTTAACTTGCGAGATGTCTCAGTTTTATCTTCTGAGTTAGCACCAGAAATTCTTCCCGGTTTAATCTTCATTTCACTTTTAGGAACATCTCTGTAACTTCTCTGAGATACCCCTATGTGAATAGCAGTTTCACTGGCTCTAATCGGTTGAGTTCCGGATTCCTCATGCCCTCCTTGACTGTTTGGATGTAATCTGTGTTTCCTGAGTTTTTGCCTCAGGGTTCTGAGATCAACATGCTCCAGATTAGGCTCAGAGGTATGGACAGTTTTCTCCTTGACACCAAAATTTCCAGCTTTCGCTTGATTGCTCGCTGTGAAAGAAGGGATTAACTTCCTGTATTTCCTCAGCTTCATGCTTGATACCCTGGTGGATTGACGCTTGGTGGATGGAGCTGACAGTGGTTTTGCTACCTTGATTATCTTCTCCTGATTCCTTCGGCCATATATCTCTGTTGAAGAAATGAATGGAGGTGAAGATTTTACCATCTTCTTCAGCTTTAAAGGCATCGCAGGCTCAGAAGATGAGTCGATTGTCTTAGAAGGGGATGAAGTTGCTTTCTTGATTGCTATAGATGTAACAGATGCAGTAGTGCTCTTGACACCCGATGGGCGTTCTTGCTCAGGCTCCAACTTGACTGATCTTGTTGTTTTCCTTAATGCAGAACTGTTCTTGACAAGTTTTGGTCCACCAGATATGTCACCTTTTCCTTGCTTTATGCCTTTATGCCTATCAGAGACTCCAGTAACCTCATTTCCACTGTTCAGCTTGTTCAGCTCTCTCTTTGTTTTGATACCTGTGCTCAAACTCTTCACCTGGAACTGTTCCTTGGAGAATCCTGCTTGAGTACTTGGTGTTTTGATAGTAGATATAGGGCTTATATAAACTGGAGTCTTTAGCTTCGTGTTAAATGCTTCTTTAGATGCTCTTTCTGCCCCACTAACAGGTCTGTGTTTAGTAGATGATTTGCTCTTAGGATTCATCAATTTCAAGCTTGATGGTCCTTCTTCACATGATTCTGGAAGAGTTTTCATCTTGATATCTATCAGCTTATTAGGTGATTCCTCTGCTCCATCAGCTTTTTGATAGTCAGCAGAAACAATGTTATCTTTGATGGGAGATGCAGTCAACGACTCTATGCTTGTTTGCTCCACTGATGATCCATCTGATGGATTTGATGCTTTATAATTGGTAGAAACATCATCTTCCTGAATAGTTGACGAAATCATGAACTTTATGCTAACAGGTTCCTCAGGTGATTCTCCTGCCTGTGTAATGGGTGCATGTTCTTCAATGGCAGAATCATTTTGCATTGTTGTTCTATCAAGTCCCATGGTTACAGATTCACAAAGTAATTTTCTGGAAAGGTTGCTCGATTTGTCCTCATCGGTTGAAATGTCCATAGATTCCTCTGATGATTTTTCATCTTGATCTACAGCTGACTGCTCGAGAAATGCATTATTTGCTTGATCATATGGTGCAGCATTAAACTTCATGCCTGAGGATTCATGAACAGATCTTGCTGCTAAATCGGTAAGCGAATTAGAAGTCCGAATTATCTTCTCAGGTGGAAGATCCATCTGCTTACTGAATCTAGCCTTATCAGTGAATTCATCTGTCGTACGAATTGCCCTTGGCTTAAGTTCTGATTTCTTCTTTCTGTGTACTACCATGAAATTTGATTGATTGCATTCTCCATCAGGCATCTGGTTATGGGCCAAAAACCTTGCGAAAAAGTGATGCCTACTCTTGGCTTCATAATCATGCTTAATTCCATATTTACAGATATCATGGCACGAACCTATAGAAGGTCCTAAGTAACGAGAAAGAATCTTCTCATCACTGTTTGGAAGAGATAGTGGAATACTGGTGTTTCTTTTTACTGCTGCACTTATCCTTGGTGAACTTTTAGGCTTCACTTCCTCAAGGGATTCTGAGACAATAACTCTGTCTTCACTCATTTGAGTAAGAAATATAATGTGACTAGTATCTTGACTTCTGCAACATAAAAAGCAGGAAGGTAAGCACAAAATAAGCTTATAAACCAGAAACCAAATTAAAAGACATACCTAACAAAGGCCTATAATGGCTAGATGAGTTACAGTATCAGTTTTTACCTACTTGATAAGACTGTTGATAAAAAATCAATGTCTTTTTTTTCTTATTTAGAGGTAACACAGTAATTGCAAAACTTCATTTGAGTAAATGAATTATGATACCAGTAGATCTGAGAAAAAGGAATTATGTTAACAAGATTAATGTGCTTACAATTGATGATACTGCACAAGTTTTTGGTATAAAAAAGTAAAATAAATTGTGGAAGAGATAAATTTCATATATTATTAGAACTAGAACAAATTAATACATCAGATGATATAACTCAAATGGAGACCTATATTTTTTTTTAACTTAAGGTTGTTAATTGGTTCTTATTCCAGTAATTTCATGTTGTCATTAAATAACATACCAACAGCATAGCAAGCTAGCTAAAAGAAAAACTCCATCCTTTGTTACCATGGAATCAGGAAGCAGAAGGGGCAACAACCTTATTCAAACACAAAAAAGAAATCATGAGATTTCTGTTAGATTCTATGATCAGACTATTACTGCTTTCACATAAGTCGATCGTATATATAAATACGTATATGAGGTTAAAACAATTTCCCAACGATGTAATTGGATCGTCTTTTAATTTGTTTTTGATAGTCTGGTATCATGCTATTCACTGTTTGGTAATAGCATAATAACAAACAATCAAAAATAAATTAAAAAGCGATCCAATTGTACCATTGGGAAATTGTTTTCACCTCATATATGTATTTCTATGCATATTTGATCGACATGAAAGCAATTATTTGGTTCCACAAATCTACTAACAATTTCAAGAACCAAACCTCACGCAAATCCTTTCACCATAAAAAACAAGAAATAACAACGTAAACCTACAGAATCACAAAAGCACAAATCCTTTGACATTATATCGCCCTAGCCGAGAGCTCTGGGATGCATTTGATACGTGCGAATCCATAGACACAAGAAAGAGAAACAGCAGCAAATGGAACAGAGCACATAGAACCAAGCAAGCAATTCCCTCAGGATCAATAGGATCAAGAAATAAGCCGAGCAGGAACAATGGAAGAGTCAAGAAGGGCGAAGCAAAGGCGAGCCTTTCCAATCGTACGACGAATTGGTAGAGCGTCAAGATCGCAGCTTACGGGGATTCCCGGCCACCAGAGCGACGAGAAGGAGATCCGATCTCTCCTTTAGGCGAACTTGCGGAGAACGACGACCTCCGGCGATTTCTGGCGTCCTGGTGCTCCGTCTATCGCGCAGAGAGAGAGAGAGAGAGAGAGAGAGAGGGAGCCGGAAGGGGCTCGCCTGCACCAACCCCAGCTGGTGGTCCCACCAGTGACGAGGAGTATTTATTGGCACGGCGTGCTAATTAGGGACGAAGAGAACCATTAAGAGCGCCCAGAACAAACGGTCGTGGCAAATCGTTAATATGGTTGTTCTTCTATTTATTTATTTATTTATAAGCGAATTCACAGATAAAGCTCTTATTTTTATGGATTTTTTTGGTAGAGCATCTGAAAAATTTTACTTTTATCTTCGTACCCAAGTCACATGAAAATATAGTTTCACTTTTTTCTTCATTAGACTTATTACTATTCTTGCACCGTTGTCTTGCATCACCTTTGTCATTGTCATTACATCGTCGTCGAATCCATTGCATATAGTCTTTGTATAAGAAAAAAGGGGTGTGAGATTATTATTTACAAGCCCTCTTGCATGTCAGGGTCCAATGATTCCTTTCACCCTAGTCACCCAATTGTCCTTTCTTATTATCGAACGTAGGCGAGGAAGAAGATGGGGCAAACCACATGCCCTTGTCATTAGCTACAAGCAAGAAAAGAGATGGGATAACCTACGCACCTTTATCATCAGTCACAAGTGAGAAAAGAATGACCACGATAGGTCTAATAGGGCAAAGGGGAGGGGAGTTGGTTGCTCAAAGCGAAGAGGGATGATCGGCGAGACATGGAGGGTTGGGTAGATAACGATGATTGATAAGGATAGAATGGTCATTCTAAAAAGAAAACATTTTATGAATTTTTTTTTAAGTTATGCTATCTTGAAAATTCTTAAAATTAATTTTTTTTTTCAAAAATTCATCCTTATTATTATTGTTGTTATTGTTATTGTTGAATATTATCTAAGAATCCCTCTATATTTTTTTCCTCCTTTTAGGCTCAAATTAGACCGTAAATGACGACGATGTTTTTAGAGTTCAAAATCAAGCATGTTTAGGTCTGACCAACTATGACCTTGACGACAATGCTTTTTTAGAGTTCAAACTTGTAGAATGAGTGAAGCATGAGCTCAAGCTTAAATTCTTATTTGAAAGAAATCAACACCGTTTTACATAATTATTTATGAGTCTAAAAAATAAAATAAAAAATAACTCTACATACATATCAGCTATTTATTTATTAATAAACGGACTTTACTAACCTATAAATATAATTTGTTGCCGAGGATATAGAATAACTTCTACTCAACCGGTTTAACGAGTCTTTGACGAGTTAGAACATCAAATAACCAAACTGGGGTAGTAACTCCCTCATAATTGCTTTGGAAACTAACAAGTTTAAATACTTAATGGAGAAACTAAAGGTAGCAAATGATCACTGCAAAAGCAACTTAATCAATTATTTCCATTCTAATCCTAGTTAATTTGGGCCACTAAATATCAATACAAAATGCTTGATTTCAACCATTTGATCTCAATCTAGTCATACAATTTGGACTCCGTGTATATATATATATATATACAAGCTTCAATTCATGGAGACAAGGAGACACATCGATCGACAGAATTGAGTGTGGAGAAGGTCCCCTCTTGTTAAAGATTTCCATATGGTATTACTAAGGCTTCGGTAGTACTGATCCGACAGTCTACTTATGACAGTGATATAACGATGAGCTGCAGTGTTAGCTGGAGACTCTATCATCTGTAGCATTGATCGACTTGAATGATTCATTTGGTTGTGCAGGGACGAAAAGATGATTTGAAGATTCAATGCTAGCTTTGAATCAGCGTGGAGCGACAGGAGGTTTTGTCCCCAGGCTTCTCAACCTTGCATTTGGAAGGGTGGACTCAGATTGCTTGGCAGCTGAAGGTCCACACTTTTGTTCTTGTCCTGCCAATAATTCAACCTCGTGTGTCCTCTTCCTGAGAAGAATGTGAAGCATGGAAGAGCTCAATTAAGACTGAGCACCCAAGTGGAGATCAGAACCAACTGCATCACGCAACAACTAAGTAGGAGTTTCTCACTATAAATATCATATTATATGTATTTCCATCTTGTAAAGATAAATATTGTGTCAAGAAATATTGTGAACGAAATATGACTAATCTACAGTAGTAATGCGAAGAGAAGGATATATTATTACTATTATTAACATATTACTTTGTCATTTTATCCTTAGCTTTAAACTGAGACCAGACAACTTTTGTCAGATAATTCTTTCATGTAATCGAATCTACACACACACACACTATATATTATATATAGTGTGTGTGTGTGTGTGTGTGAATGGCACACGCATGCATGTGAATGGCACGTGAAGGGAAGGACGTGAGGCCGTCACGGGGGAAAGGCATGGTGTTAAGCAACTGCAGCGTCCGGTAAGTCGTTTGTCTTGGTCTCCCCGAAAACTTATCCGGCCTACATGGCACTCTTTACGCGGAGAGAAATGTGGGGCCCTTAGGTGAAGATGATGTGGGCCTCACGTAGTTGGGAGAGTTCTAGGGATGAGTATTTTGTACGTACGTACCCGTCGGAGTATGGAGAAGTAGTACTACTCTTTGGGGCCGTTCGCACTGTGGCGTATGAGGAGAATCACGTCCTCTTCGGGACAACCGGTCTTTGGATGCATGCGTGTTAAGTTCACGGATTCGCTCTTCCGCTTCGAACAGAGATCCGCTGTTACGGGCGATGGCTGCCTCCCAGCACGGTCTTGCCGCATTGAACGATGAGTGAACTGTGGCGTTTGATCTGTGTCCTGTCTTAACGAAAAACAGCAGAGCCACATTTCGGCTCACCTGAATCGGGCCGACCACGGTTCCGGATTTTTCCTGTTGCAAGGGATGTGGATCCCATCACTTTGAAATCAGGGGTCCACTCGCACATACTGTGATGATAGGTTGCGAATATGAGCCATGTCTGGATTAGAGATGAAATCCTTCCTTGCTACGGTTCGCATCCGTCCTCCGAGCGTCATTCCTGCCTCTGGTAATCGACAGGTGTCTGGTACCGTTCCCCAGTTGGCTCTCTCCATCGCTTCCTCTATTATCTTCTCCTAACAGACGCCCCCATCATGTATTGAGAAATCATGGCCACATTAGTGTAGTAACCGCTCGTTCTTTCTACTCCTCCCTCTCATGGTTCCTGTCATTCGAGGAAGATGCCTCTGCCGGTCACTAAGCTCCTCCGTTCTTTCCTTTCCAGGTTAATTAGCTCTACCTATCTGTGCATTCCTTTGGTTCATCTCTAAGCTTATGATTCATGAGTGTTGTTCCATGGCAAACACTTGTAGGCACAGACTCAACGTTGTGGAATTGGTGATGTAACTTTCAGGTCGGCCGGACTGCTGTGGCGCCGGAAAGAGGTCGTGTCATCCGACACCGAGGATGGCGACTACGAGGGCGGCAACCGAACTCCGCCCTCAGTGGCGGCCGCGGAGTGTTATGCGTGCACCCAGCCGGGCGCGCCGGCCTTCCACTCCACCACCTGCGACCGCGCCCACTCGCCGGAGTGGGAGGCCAGCGCCGGGTCATCGCTGATCCCCATCCGGCCGAGCCAGACCAACGTGCTGCGAAGCCTCCGGCCGGGCAAGTCGGGGGCGTCGCTGCTCGGCGGCCAGGTGCTCGATCCGAGGAGCGAGAAGGTGCGACGGTGGAACCGGCTGATCCTGCTCGCCCGGGCGGTGGCAGTGGCGGTGGACCCACTGTTCTTCTACGTGCTGTCTATCGGGCGGCGAGGCGCGCCGTGCCTGTACATGAACGGCGGCCTATTGGCGATTGTGACGGCGCTGCGCACGGCGGCCGACGCCGTGCACCTGGTGCACGTGTGGCTGCAGTTCCGGGTGGCGTACGTTTCGAGGGAGTCGCTAGTGGTGGGGTGCGGGAAGCTGGTATGGGACGCCAGGATGGTCGCCGTCCATTACCTGCGGTCGCTCAGGGGCTTCTGGTTCGATGTCTTCGTCATCCTCCCGGTGCCTCAGGTCAGTGCTCCATTGAAGCTTCTTCTGAGATCATTGGGTCATGCGGGTTCTCCATAGTAACCTTATCACAGATTCATCAAGTTTTTCTTATTGGAATATGTAGGAACAGTGAGAACAGAGATGTCCAGAATCTAATTTCATATATATCCTCAATGAATGCAAGAACAAGTATCTCTTGGACATATAATTAGGATATCCGTACATAGATAGTTCATTTTTCCTCTTGTTTTTGTCTCCTACTCTCAACTACAGTGCCTCATAAAACTGGTTAGAAATGTCTACTGATAGATCGATAATTTGTAGAACTAATTCTGAAAGGGAGATGCAGTGACTTCCCTTCTACTCTGAAATTGTGCAGGCTGTCTTTTGGCTGGTCGTCCCCAAATTGATCAAAGAGGACAAGATAAAGCTTATGATGACTATACTTCTGCTCATCTTTGTGTTCCAGTTCCTCCCCAAGGTTTATCACAGCATCTGCGTGATGAGGAGGATGCAGAAGGTGACCGGCTACATCTTCGGAACAATCTGGTGGGGATTTGGTCTCAACCTCATCGCCTACTTCATCGCTTCTCATGTAAGTATATCTTCTACTAAAATCTTGAATGCATGTTCATATATATGTATATCTCATATAATCACATTTCCTAATGCATGTTGGTTAGCTTGTATGTGCACCAAAGTGCAGTTGGAGATAGTGAATCAAGGAGCAACCTCTGAGTCTATCCTAGGCATTAGTAATTTACAGAGGTAAGAAAGAAATCATCATCACAGATGAGTAGGAATTATGTAGATGGAGTTAAACATGTAGTGGGTAGGACACTAGAAAGAATTAAAAGGGAGCTAATCTTGTCACACCTACAACCACAATTAAAAGTTAGAAATCAAGCATGAAAGTGCTATGGAATCCCCAAGAAAGATTGGATAGCATTTACAGTAGTCGAGTGGTATCATGCAGTAACCCACAATTTCTTAGTTATATATTTCATGATCTTAAATCCTTGGAATCCCCGAGAAAGATTGGATAGCATTGACAGAAGTTGAGTGGTATCATGCAGTAACCCACAATTTCTTGGTTATATATTTCATGATCTTAAGTCCTCGCGGCATGAGATTCTGATGCATGCATGTGATATCCTGCACTACACTACAAGACAATAGAATGCAATAATGGAGATAAACAGTTTAGTTGAAAATAACAAGAGATGGATATGTTACATATGAAGGCTGTGAATTGTTCTTTTGTGGAGACTTGTTATATGGATAGATACACATGCCAGTATTGTACCAGTAGCTACAGATTTACAGTATATATACTCCATCATATTGTTAAGCACTCGGAAAGGATTAAAACTAGATTCATCTTTTTCTATTTTGTTAACTTTAACAGTATCATAATAAGTCATAGATTAGAAAATAAGATAGATTGAGAATAGATATGTAATCTCAATAATGGGTATATCGTCCCGATAAGATGTCTTGTCTTTTTATAATGAGAAGCAAATGATACAGGATGATAATTAGAAGAGTCTTTGTTCGTAAGAAATTCTATTATAATTGAATTTTCTTTCTATTGATCGATAATCATCATTAGAATTTAATCAGATATATAATATATTTTATTTAATTAAATAAAACTATATGATCCAATAATTTGACCTTGTCTTATAATTTTCAAAACTAAAACCATAATTAAGAGAACTAAATTTATTTATTTCAACTATTGTTTCCGACAATTAAGAAGGACTACTTATGCTTCCTCTTTGTAAGTCTTCAGGTAGCAGGTGGGTGTTGGTATGTTCTTGCAATCCAACGCGTGGCCTCCTGTCTTCAACAGCAGTGTGAGCAGAAGAACGATTGCGATCTTGTATCGCTGGCCTGCTCTAAGGAGGTATGCTACCCCTTCACCCTGCGATCTGGCATGGCTGCTTCAGCTTGTGAGGGCAACTTGATGGCATCTACCGGAATGCAGAACACTTCGGTGTGCTTAAGTGGCAATGGTCCATTTCCATATGGAATCTACAATTGGGCTCTCCCTGTTGTGTCCAGCAGCTCACTTGCTGTCAAGATCCTCTATCCCATCTTTTGGGGCCTCATGACTCTGAGGTAAGAGTTGGTTGATCAGAAAGATCATATGCAAGAACCTGCAAATCCAGTAGAATAAGCATAAACCAGAGCTTCACCTCGTTTGTCTCTGACATAATTTTCACTCTGCTACAGCACTTTCGGCAATGATCTCGAGCCTACCAGCCACTGGCTAGAAGTCATATTCAGCATTGTTATCGTCCTAAGTGGCTTGATGCTCTTCACCCTGTTGATCGGTAACATTCAGGTGCTTGGCAATGCTGTCGTCTTCACTCCGATCAGACACAGCAATGTATACATTTCTAACAGATATGCCTTCCTGAGTAGGTATTCTTGCATGCTGTTATGGCGAGGAAGAGAAAGATGCAATTACGATCTCGGGACATGGAATGGTGGATGAAACGGAGACAGCTACCCTCGCGGCTAAGACAAAGAGTTCGTCAGTACGAGCGCCAGCGCTGGGCTGCAACCAGAGGGGAGGAAGAGATGGAGATGATCAAAGATTTCCCCGAAGGACTGCGGCGTGACATTAAGCGTGATCTCTGCGTTGATCTCATTAAGCAGGTAATGCAGAAGACTACATAGTGTGTGTTAAGATTACAGATGCACTTCCAGCCTTCGTTCTCACAAAGCTAATGATCATCTGTGAAATAGAAATTGCTGGAGAAAAATGCGAAGCTCATGAATATTTTCTTGCAGGTGCCTCTGTTCCACAATTTGGATGATCTCATCCTGGACAACATATGCGAAAGAGTTAAACCCCTCGTCTTTTCCAAGGGTGAAAAGGTATATGATTAATGTTAGCAAAGGAGGAGAAGTCTTGGAGCGTGCTGAGGGTACTGCTTTTATGATCAGGTGATCAGAGAAGGCGACCCGGTGCAGCGCATGGTGTTCGTCGTCCGAGGCCACCTGAAGAGCAGCCAGTGCCTCAGCAAAGGCATGGTGGCCACGTGCATGCTCGGGCCTGGCAACTTCCTCGGCGACGAGCTCCTCTCGTGGTGCTTGCGGCGGCCATTCGTCGACCGACTACCAGCTTCCTCCGCCACGTTCGAGTGCCTCGAGCCGGCAGAAGCCTTCGGCTTGGATGCGCCCGATCTCCGGTACATCACAGAGCACTTCAGGTACAAGTTCGCGAACGAGAGGCTCAAGCGAACGGCGAGGTTCTACTCGTCCAACTGGCGGACGTGGGCGGCTGTCAACATACAGCTCGCCTGGCGCCGCTACAAGACGAGGACGGGAGGCGCGGCGAATGGACCGCCGGAACAGCGCGACGGCGAACGCCGCCTGAGGATGTATGCTGCCATGTTCATGTCGCTGCGACCTCAAGACCATCTCGAGTAGAACAAGAGCAGTCATGTTGATCGGAGTTCAAAGGCCACTCGAGAAGAGAAGAAATTTAGAATTCAGCACGAGAAATAATTCAGCTTGTTGCATGAAAACTCTGGTGACTTGATCTCTCAGTCTCCGGTTGAAGCTTTAGAAGCGCCAATGTTCTTTTCTCGCGCTCCGTGGTGCGATATGAAGAATGCATTAAGGTAGTTCTTTTCACTTTGATATGTGATTGAAGTTATAGAGATGCCAACATGTTGATCTTGAAGCACAAAAATTAGTGAGGAGGTACTTATTCTATCATTTTATATATAAATTTTTAACAAAAAAATAAATGATTTAATTTAAGGAATTAATTTTAGGATTTTACAGTGATTCGATAAAATCTTTACACCCTAAGTCAGGTAACAACACCTTCTAAATATCATAATAAATTTAAATATTCAAAATAAGAATATTAAGATATAAGGGATTTAATAAGGGGCGTGTGTGTGTGTATATATATATATATATATATATATATGGGTAAAGATAATAATAACTGGTTTGGAAGGGATATAAATGCAATTTTGGCTAAAGGAGGCCACTTCGAGATCAATGAACGTTCGAATTCTAAACCCTAGCACGGAAATAAGCTTCAAGTTCGACGGCAATGGCGATGGAGATCGATTTGCCGAAGCCGGAAGTGCTCTTCCGAGCCGCAGAGGATGGGGACGCTTCTCTATTTGCCTCCCTCTCCAGGGAAGCCCTAGACAGGGCTCGATCGCTTAGGAACGAAGACGGCCGATCCCTCCTTCACGTCGCTGCGTCCTTCGGCCGCTCCGAGGCGAGCCCTCACCGTTGTTTTGCAAATTGTGTAACTTTAATCGTATTCGTTGATCTAGGGTTTGATATTTTGTTTCTCCAATGTTTATTTTCCTACGTCTCGTTTGAGAAGAGTAGTTGAGTAGTTGATTTGATTTGGTTTGATTTTATTGAAGGATTTTGGGATTTTTTTTTTCTCTAATAGGTTGTTGATGTGATATCGGCTGCTGATCCATCGATTAATGGAGTCAACAGTAAGGATGAAGAAGGTTGGGCGCCCATTCACTCCGCTGCTAGCATCGGGAATGCTGAGATCGTCGAGATCTTGCTTAGTAGAGGTGAGTTTCGACTGATGCTTCTGTCAAGATTGAGCTTTCGTCCAGTTTGCCTTTGCTATAGGAAATTATATGCAGTCCTTTTTGTTCTGTCATGGCTTGTTAGAATAACCAAAAAACAATTTATAAAATTCTTTAGCTTTCCGTCAGATGTTTGGAAGGAAACAGAATTGAGATGCATGATCATATGGTTGTAATACTACTTCAGTTTTGTAATTTGATATCTATGTGAGAATATAGAGATGGTAGAATTAATGGTAAAATGTAAATTGCAATGCATATATGCCATGCAATTTAAAGCATGTTTTTGTGACATGCAAGTGATGCTTGAAGAAATAAGTTCGGGTTCAACTGGTGCTTTTAGGTTGACAAGCAGCATACTACTGCTATGTAGCTATACTCTAATTCCAGGGAAGTTATCTTGGTAGCTTATTCAGCTACTTATCGATGAGATAAATTAACTATTTTTTTAAAAAAATCAGTTCTTTTGTGAGAAGTCTCAAACAATCTCTGATTAATTAAAAATCTGTATTTTATTTATTTTTGTAATATTTTTTAAAACAATATTACAAAAAGGTAAACTGATTTAACATAAGCAAATAGTAGCAAAAACTTTGGTTTTTGATCTGAAAATTAAAAGGAATGTTTGAATTGATCCTCCAATCTGTATCTGCCCCGTCCTTTAAACCATATTGTCCAATACAACTGATCCAATTCAAATAATTATATAAAAAACCAGTTCCTATCCTGATTTCATTTTTTAAAACCTCGAGTAGGATCTTCTCACACATAAATAGAACCTGTCACAGGAAGAAGGTATAGCTAATCTAGTCGACCTAACAAAATGAATAGCTCTAGCTGCTGCCACTCTCCAAATACCAGACTTGACGGAAGAAGGTATGTTTGTGCTTGGGTCATGTTAAACACATTAATATTAAGATTCTGTATGACTCAAATAAGTCTATTATGATTATTCTAGTGAATATTTGACTAAACCAACCAGTTTAGTTTGATCCAATCCAGTTGTTTACTGCATGGTTGTCATTGAGCAATTGGCATAAAATGTCTGGTTCTCTTAGACTTGTATGTTGAGATCATGAATTGACATGATACGTATCTTGCCAGACTGTCCTGTTTCGACCCTTCACATTTTTTTGCTTCCCAAGAAAAATTCTTTATATGTTATTCATCAAGTGAAATGCCTAGTATGATTTCCCATCACTAAGTAGAAATATGATAACAGTTGCATATGCTATCTATTTAGAAGATAAAATGCTGCATTGTTTGGCTTTTTAATAATTCAAGAATTTTTTTGTTTGTTTGAAGCTGTATCTTGTTTTGGGTAATGTTTTTGCACAAACAGGAGGTGATGTCAATTTGATTAATGATGGTGGACGCACTGCCCTCCATTATGCTGCTAGTAAGGGATGGTTAAAAGTAGCTGAAGTTCTAATATCCCACGGTGCAAAGATAAATAAGAAAGACAAGGTCTATACTGTTTTGCACAACTATATCTCACAATTTCTCTTCCAGTTATTTCTTCTTCATGCTAAGTTTTTTTCTCTTGTTTATGCATATTTCTGCTGTTGATGTTTTAAAGTGCATTTACTTCAGGTTGGTTGCACCCCACTGCACAGGGCGGCAAGTACAGGAAAGTCAGAGTTGTGTGAGCTGTTGATTGAGGAAGGAGCAGATGTTGATGTTGTTGATAAAGCAGGCCAAACACCAATTATGCATGCAGTGATATGCCAGAACCAACAGGTCACTGAAATTAGAACTCAACCATGCTATTTTTCCTTTTATTAATTTTTTTGGCCATTACAAAGTGTCAAATTAGAGTACCCTTAAGAGTGGCTTTATCTTATATAAGTTAGCAATATCTTTTGCTTCTCATCAATCAGAAGTTGTGCTTGATCCCTCATGTAATCCACATTACTGAAGTGGATGAAGTTCCTAAGTAATGTGTTGCCCCATTTTCTCCCTCTGTGACCTTGAACCTTAGTGAACCTGTAAAAATTTATGAAGATAACATGAACCAGAACCAATAGAGCAAGTATTTTAGAATTTTTTACCTCTTAAATGCATTCTCTTTGGTGTATGTACTGTGTTTATGCACACAGCAGAGTGTGGATGTGAATTTGGCTGAGCATGTATTTTAGATGCATTCACTATGTACTAGTCAAGATGTTTGAATTGTAGGATCGAACTTAATAAAAATCGTATATACTCTAGAATAAACTAGTAATCGACATAAGCCATGTATCGACATATGGAGAACAACATAGATGCTTAAAGAACATAAAGGAATGTAATAACATATAATACTCTAAATTCGAAAACTATAATCAATTAGATATAATCATAAGAAAGAGAAACTCATGATTCACATATGATTAAACTGGCTTAATATAGAGTGGAATCAATTAAATAGTGAAAGATACATAAAAATTTTGCAGTATTAGAATCTGGAACCATAAAAATTTTTTAGGGGTAAGGAACCATTTCATGTTTATTTCAAGCCATATGCCTAACCAAACAATTTTGCAGTGTTACGGGTGAGTTCTCTGCCAATGAGAAGAGAGGGTCAAGTGGAGAACTTACATATACCTATGCACATTGTGTGTCCTTGTGTGTGCATCTCTCCACTTACGTGGGTCTTGTGCCTCACCATCGTCAATATAATTCGCTGCTTTGATGTTCATTATAGCCCTTTCCTCCACCCATGTACAAGTGCTAATATGTAGAAATGGTAGCACATATAAAGATCATGTTTTTGCCAAGCATTATTTAACACTCTGAATGGTAGAATCCCTGTGGCTTTAATGAATCCAATCAGTATGCTTACATGAGCTCACGTGGTTATGAGCCTTATTGCTTTGAATAGGTTGCTCTTCTTTTGATAAGGCATGGTGCGGACCTCGATGTGGAAGACAAGGAAGGATATACCGCGTTAGGCAGAGCATCAGATGACTTCAGACGGATACTGATTGATGCTGCCAAGGCAATGCTTGAAGGTTAGATGACAGAGATACAGTCTCTAGAACTGAGCTTCCTCCAGTAGATCACAATCAAGTTCTTCAAGAAGTATGGCTAATCAGAGGACTCCAGAGATGGATGGATAGTGAGACCGGCATTCAGTTTGTATTCGGCATGCATGTGCTGTGTTAAGAATCTGAAACAAGTTCAGCATGCTGTTCTCAGCAGTAATGAAACTTAGAACTGCAGTAGTCTAACAGTGGTTCGACTCGTCTGCTTGCCTTTTATGTGTATCTTGCAGAGAAGTAATGGTATTTCGAAGTATAGACTTTCCGAGACTTCTTATTCTACTGATTTGTTGGATTGTTTTAAGTCTATTTAGAGAGAGGAATTCTGAGTAGGGATTTTACATAAATACACGATGGCATATCTAATTCTGACTAAAAGACCAGCTGATTATGATATTGTTCTCTACTCACGTTTACTTGTTTTGATGAAGTCAGTGGGATTGAGATTGTCCATAGAAGATAACTGAAGTATCAAAGCAACAATCTTGAAGTCAGTGGGATTGAGATTGTCCATAGAAGATAACTGAAGTATCAAAGCAACAATCTTTCCATTGTTATAACACGTGTAAACTCCACATCTGAGCTCAAGAAATCTTTTCAGCATGTTAGCATAAAATCTGTAATCATATTATCTGTAACGCGAAAAAAGAATTAGATTATTCTCATCTCTTTCTATTTTTTTATATGATCATATAAATTGATGGATTAGGGAGTTTGGGAGAAAAACTTTAATCTCTCAAATTTATAGACGAGAGCAGAGAATCTAAGATAAATTATTAGGAGAGTTATTCTCATCAAAATTATCTCTTGCTTAATTAAATAGGATCATATAATCTAATAGAGTTAACCGTTGCTATTTCGATGGATGTGCTTTAAACAAGATTGCTTCCTTCCACTTTGATGCGACCATTCGTTTCGTTCACATGTTCCTTTGACACGATAGAAATGGTGGGGGATTCCTCGTTGACAAGCAACAGGCAAAATAGCACTACAGCCAAAGGATGAACAAAGACGAAGACCTAAAGGGGTGCATAAGCTGGTGCTTCTCGAACCGGACAGTGATGGACATGACGGTCATGTTTTCTTGTGCACTCAGGCATCGACGCGCGGAGAAGCCGTAGCACAGCCATGTTTACAGATCTCCTGAGCCATTTCGTGATGAGGTTCTCCAAATGTTCTGAAGCCATGTCATGATGGGACGAACATGCGACGCTCACACTCTCCGGTCCACAGATGCAGGTGGCTGCGGTGGTCGGGAGCTCCGTGAGTGGCCAAGACATGTCTCTACAGCACTTGCACTTGCGCCCACAGATCATCTGAATCCAGTTGTTTATGCCTGTGGTTACACAGTAATGCACGGCCTAAACCCAAGAACATGTCTACTGCATGCAGAAAAACTTGTTTGGTGAAGATGGAACTGTTTCATTTGTTGTTGTCCATTCCATCATTTACTGCACAGGCTGAGCTCCACAACTCTATAATAGCCTGTTAGAACTTTGTCAACCCATGCACACTCCGTTTTTCTTCCTCTGAAGGTAAACGTACTATTTGAATACTTTGAAATGATTGATATGTAAATATTTATGTAATATATATCTTGTGGAATGTGGACTCATTTGTGGAACATGAGACAACATTGTTTCTGTTCTGGTGGAATCTCATGGCCTGTGACGTCTCTCGAGACTTTGACTAGTTAGTGACCCTTTAGGACACAATCATAGTGGCCTGCCGAACCGAAACCCAATAGACAAAGCCAAGAAATCTTAACCTATTTACCGCCACCGACACTTCTCCAAGTGGGGGGACAAGTGGGTCCAAACATTTACCCTTTTTTCCACCTTTGATTTAAGAGGGCAAGCCTTTCATATAAATCTTTCTATCAATAAATTATACTATATTATTTAGTGATTGGCTTTCAATTTTGATTTACCATTTTTCTCAAAATTTTAAGATGGATTTGGTAAGAAAAGGACTTCTAAACAAGCAAATTAAACACTTAATGAAGCATAATCCAAGATAATTGTGGGAGCCAAAGAGTTCTTGCGACATAGAAGTGCGACGTAAATAGCTCTCACCTAAAAATATTGGACCCTCGTCGTTCTTTCACGAATCATCCCACGAATTAGAGAAGAAAGAACAGTGAGTACGTGGTCTCGCAATGGACAGAGGTCTAAGTCGTATTCTGAGTCGTCTGTGTTGCTCCTAAGATCCTGCACCTGTGTGTGCCCTGTTCGGACATAGGCGTTACCAGCACACACCAGGCTGGCCGCCACGTGCTGTCGCTTTCCGTGTTCTTCTTCTTTCCAACCCAAAAGATTACTGGAAGAGAGAGAGAGATAAAATGATCCCAGCAAACAAACCACAGAAGAAGCTACAACACATCGCACACAAACTCTCACACAAATCTCAAAGTGACGCACGGAATCACCAAATACATAGGAACGAGACGAAGAAGAGGAGGAAAACAAATCAAGAAATGCTTGTCTTTTTTTGTTCTTTGAACACTGATCAGAGCACCCGGAGAAGAGCGGCGGCGAGCAGAGTGGCGGCGAGAGCGGCAGTGGAGGTGAGCGCCCTGGGCGGGGCGGCGGCGGCGGAGGCGGAGGACTTCTTCTTGGCGGAGAGCGGGGCGGAGGGGGAAGTGAGGGGCTCGACCAGGATGGACAGCTTCATCCCGTCGTAGCAGTAGCCGTAGCTGCAGATGAAGTAGTAGCGACCGGTGTGGTTGAGCTCGAACGCGTAGTTCCGCCCCTTGCTGTAGTTGGAGATGGGGTTGGAGGCGTCGCACTTGTCGTACGCGTCCTCGTCCACCCGCACCACGTCCGCCGTCCGCGGCTGGTAGTAGAACACTGCGCTCACAGGCCATGCATAAGGATCTCACAACGACAGCGGAAGAGAGGACTGTAGGAGAGTCCAGAGATCAGAGAAGAAGAGCGAAGACACATTAGGTACCGAGCCAGTCGCCGACGTGAAAGGGGCGGTGCTTCTTCTCCCAGATGGTGTAGTTGACGCCCGGAATCCACCCCTTCTCGTCTCCCACCGAGAACCTGTTAAATGCCGCAGCGCAGCTCAGGTGGTACGAAACGCAGACCAAGACGAGAAGCAAGGCTTTGCCCATCGCTCTCTCTCTCTCTCTCTCTCTCGTCCCCTTCAGAACCAACAAGGAGCAACGACGAAGTTAGAGGAGAGTGCACGGGACTGTCTCCCTCTGTGTCCGCTCGCCTTTAATGCTCTCACTCTCGCTCAAAAGACTCTTCGGCTCTCTCGCTGTTCTCTCTCGTCTTTTGAGGAGGGTTACAAGGGATGGATAGTAACAGGTAAAAGAAGGGAGACTGTAGCATGCCACATGGGATGGCAGGCGCTGCTTTATACGGTCGAGAGAAGAGTCACATGAGAAGATGCTGCCTTTTGTCTTCGTAGATAACTGCAGCAGTAAATTTGCTGTCGATCCACAGGTGGAGTTTTTATTTATCTAAAATTATATTTATTTTTTAACTTTAATACTTTTAATATATATATTTTTTATATTAAACATACGATCAGTATATTTACTCTCTGAGTTCGATCGGATTTCTATAATTTTTAAAATTATATTAAGATATTTATATTTACAAAAGTAAAATATATTTTAAAATTTTAATTCTACAAATTTATTTTTTTAATCTTATATAAAAAAATTAATGTTTCATTCTCGTAAATATAAAGAGTTTTAATATATATTTTTTAAATCAATCAACTTCAATTATACGAATCATAAAGAAAACACTGATTTGAAAGACGAAACGAGTGAGAAAGAGTTGGAGCTAAATATGCATCTTTCAATGGGGCCAATCCGATTGATTCTATCATGCCGACGGAAAACCGAAGAAGTAAAGCTGCAACTCGAGCTGAGTTGTACATTTGCAGCAGCAATCATGGCGGCCGACACGATCGCTTCTCACGGCAATTCTCATCACCCCATCATGCTCCTAAATCAAATGCATCCAACTGACAACGCAGATCTCTCCATGATTGATTGCATGTTTTCTCTGTAAATATATCTTAACTCTCAAATACATTATACCGTATATCTAATTTGTGACGTCATATATGGCATACGATTCTCGTATATTAGACTACAATCAAAATAAGGTGAAGGATTATATTGGGAAAAATCACCCATTATTTGTGTACATATTGCTGGACTACAAGAACTGAAAACGAGGTGTTGGCAAACTCCGACGAGGCCAAGATGTCCCCCACCACTCCCAGCTCCGGTGACTCGCTCCAGTCATCCATTCCTTCGCTGAGCAACGAGTTCCAGGCCTGCCGCCGGCCCACGATCACGAGGTCGTAGTCCTTCTCGAAGTACTTGATGACCGCGACTGCCTCCTCGACGTCGCTCACCGCCACCTCCTCCACCGCCACGCGCTTGTTCCCCGCGTGCTCGGTCTTGAACTCGTTGAAGAGATCTTCATCCTGGAGAAAGTCCTCGTCCATCTCGCGATCGACGGCCGGGAGGAAGCGGAGGACTACGGTGGTGACGGCTACATGCCGCGCCATGCGCGCGCCAAAAGACAGTGCTTCCCGGTCATCGGCGCCACCCCAGAACAGGATCTTGATGTGGTATCGGTACTGCCGCGGCACGGTTTGCCCGAAGCCGGTGATCGGGTGGTGGACGAGGATACCGACCGAGCAGGGAGCCTACAGATGCAAATCTCAGTAATCATGTAAATCCTTTTAGTTTCCTGCCACAATCTCTGACAGCCACCCACAAATCCAATCAATCGCCGTACGTAGACGAGGAACATATCCGCACCTGAGACAGTACATTGGGGATGATGCTACGAGCCGCCCGATGGACCTCAACGTTGGCCCCAGTCTCCTTCCTCGGAAATGGGACGATGACGAGGTGGACGTTCTTCTCGATGACGAGCGAGCAGATGTCGTGGTGCATGGTCTTGTAGGGAGAGATCGCAGTGAACGGCTGGACGACGACCATCCCCTCCTTCAGTTGCTCGTAGTTGATGAAGACGCTGTGGAGGCGGTCCATCTGCCGCGCGTCGATGCTTCCCTTCTTGTTCTTGTGAGCGATGAGGCTGGAGCTCGCCCGCCCCATGATCTCCGTCAGGTGAAGGACGTAGACGCACATCGGGCTCTGCTCGTCGCCGCGCGACGCCTCCACGAGGTCGAGCAAGAGCGCCACGGGCTCCTCGTCAAGCAGCGATGCCACCAGGCGGAACTCGGCCTGCGGCTCCAGGTGCTGCACCGTTCGACACCCCATCACATGCCTGGCGTTCAGGGGATCGTAGAAGATGGCCACCAGCGTCGAGCTTATCACCGTCATAGTCATGCAAGAAAGTATGGCCGCCACATAGGCCTGAGGCAACAGCAACTGCGACATAAATTGACCACATAAGCGTTCATTGACTTGCTGACTGGGCTGCTGCAATAGATGCACGGTGGAAGTGGTTTGTCTTGACCGAATACAATGCTGAGAGAAAAGAGCGTTAATGGGTGTCCGGCACCACACGTACAGCTTTTTCGGAATATTGATCGGCGTAGGTCATGTAGCTGGCGATCTGCCCGAGGCCATTAAAGTTGAGCATGAGGCCCAGCATGGCAGCGTTGCGAACCGATATGTTCCAGTATATGGCCGGCACCATCACGGCGAGGACCTTCGCGGCGTACCCTGCAAACATGTACAGCACCAGCCCCACAAACACCGTAGGGTGGTTGATCATCGTGAAATCGATCCACCTGCCGGCGTTCAAGAAGATGAGAGGAAGCAGCAGCTCCGTGGGGACGAAGTTTGCCCGATCCAAGAGCGCCGTCCCCAGCGGCGGCCCGTCGGGCATGAGGAGCCCCATGTAGACTGGCCCTTCCCAGTGTGATAACAGGAAGGCGTCGCTGAAAGCGCCCATGGCGCACGCGGCGAGCATTATCATCAAGATGTGCCCCTCCCAGACGCGGCCACCCTTCGGGGTGCGACTCACGATCAACCGTGCCCATGGATCGAACACGAAGACGAGGAGCACTATCAAGAAGATGTAGCCCGTCATCTTCTGTGCTGCTTCCAGAAAACTGAGGTGCATTCGTAGGCACTTCCTCACTAACGCCCTGATGATTAAGCAAGCGCTGGTGCCGATGTCGTTGATCATGGACGCGGCAATGGTGAGGCGGCCAAGCTCGGTGTTAAGCAGTCGGAGCTCAGAGAGGATGTCGGCCACCACAGGAAACGTGGTCATGCTCACCGCCATGCTGATATAGTCGAGGGCTAGGCGTGAGCCGATGCCCTCTATGACAATGCCTCGCTGAACTTTGAACAAGCTTTTCATTTGGGAAAGGATGAACAAAGGCACGACCACCGCAGAGACGGCGATGACAAAGGCCTTCTTCCCGAACTGCAGCATTTGGCGCGGGTTCGTCTTGACACAGATCATGAAGAAATGCAGGTCGAGGCCGAGATACGCTACGGTGCGCAGCAAGGAAACCCCTTCATCCCGGAAAACGACATCCAAATACCCTGCTTTGACGTCCTCGTAGTTGGGTGCCGCGCCACCGAGGGCGAATATATAATGAGACAAGGTAAAGGCTCGAGTTAGTAGATACGGAAATGTTGGTCCTAAAAGAATTCCACCCTGCAACAATGTTCGAGATTACGAGTATAAGACAAAAGTTAATCGAAAGTACGCATTAGCAAGAGAGAGAGAGAGAGAGAGAGAGAGAGAGAGAGAGATGGAGGATTACAATCATGTAAGAAACGACGCGAGGTTGCTTGAGGGGGCGCAGGACGAGGTGGATGGCGTGGGACGTGAAGACGATGAGGACTATCTGGAGTAAGAAAAGGGGGAAGACATGGCCGACGGGATTATCTTGGTAGAAGACGCCATTGGAGAAGAGAGCGGGTAGCTGTTTACATCCCTCGTCACCGAAAATGTGAACGTCCGCCATTCCCCTGCTCCTCAAACCTGAAGGAGCCCAGTTTCTGAGATTCCACCTCAAGCAACATGGGAGGCAGAAGAGGTGAAGAAAGGTGGAATTTAAGATTTGGGACGAGCGAAGGGGAGAAAAAGTTGGTCAACAGTCTGGCAAAAGTCCCTTGGCACCTATTGGTCTAATGACAAGTAAAATCCAACACCGTCAATCCGACTTGGTAATGGTTTCCCATTAATATTGATTTCCTGAAAATTAGAATGTAATCAATCCTATTTGCCCAAAAAATAACGTATACATCGCACGTTATATTACATAAAACTCTGTTACAAAATAACGTTATAATGAACTTGTAAATATCAGCTTTACGCTGGTCTCCCCGAACCGTCTCATGACTAGTCCGGTTTAATTACCGATGGCGTTTCGGACCGGTCCGGTTTTAATTCAGAGTGGAAAAGGTTTTGGCGGGAAGAGTGAGCCATCGCGTCGGTCCCAAATGCAAATCTAGGGTTTCTTCTCTTTGGAGCCGGTGGCACCGCGGCGAATGAAGCAATTGGGTCCGGGAATTCGCGTAGAAGCGTGCTGATCCCATGGACGGAGCTCGCGTGCAGCTGGGGGAGCCGATCGGGGATGCCGTCTCCAGGATCCGGTTCGCTCCGGGATCCAACAACCTCTTGATCTCTTCCTGGGACTCCGTCCGTTACTACTACGCTGCCGTCATATGGCCACCCCCCTCTCGATTCGATCTAACTTACCGGGCTCTTTTTTGGGTTTGTGTTGGGTGCAGGTTCTTAGGGTGTTTGATGTGGATGGATGCGTGCTCAGAGTGAGAGCTCCTTCAGATGGAGCACTTCTTGATTGCTGTTTTGAGGACGAAAAGGCTGCCCTTTCGGCCAGTTCCGACGGCTGCATTCGGAGGTGAGCCTGCAATTTGTCTGTTTGAATCCGCTATGTTTCTTTCATATGAATGCATATACTTGTTGGTTAAATTGCAAGTTATTTCACGAGACATAGAGGCGTTGAGGAAAATTTGAATTTTTATCCAACAAGAGGCTTTGCATAGATCTATTAAGTTGGTATCTTTGTTTCACTTATCAAGGACTTTGTTTATATATAGACAACTAGGGATATGAAATCTTCACAACCATTTATTTTGTGGAAAGGAGAAAATGCCAGGGGTGACTGACCATTCCTTCTATCAGTTATTTTTTACCTAATCGAGTGATGATTCGTATTCAATTGATATATGTTTTTTCGAAAAACATCCTCAGGTATGACTTCTGTTCAGAGACCCAAACCATAGTGGGAAATCATGATGATTCAGTCACTTTCATTGATCATTCCAAGGAAACTGGTAAGCTACTGTTTATTTGCCATTTTTATGCTCTAGAAACTCTAATTTTATTACTTGATATTTCATCATGGATAAAAAAGAAGCAGAGTTTTAGACAGTAGCTATACAGCTGTTCAATGATCATGTGAAGAAACAAGCAAAAACTTGCTGCCTACTAGTTAAACATTAAAGAGCAGATCAACTTGACTTATGGGTTTGAACATAACATTCATCACTTGAATAAATAATAACCCAACAATACTTGACTTGCAACCTGATTTAAGCATAAATTGCACATGTTTCTCGAGCACGACTTGCAACCTGATTTAAGCATTACATGGTTGCTTTTTTTTTTCTTCCTTATATCATTCAAAGATCATCATGTTTTTGATTGACAGTCACAAGGCTACCATATGAATTATAAATTTGGTCTTTTGGATTGACTTATTTATACTCATATCCATTTATGTTATGCAACCACTAGTTGTTATTACAGTTGTTGATGACAATTTGGTGAAGGGATTCCATTTGTTATCTAAGATAATGCTGTTTTATATAATATCATTTAATTTTTCCATTCTCATGAATATAAGTTGATTTATTCTTTGCTATATTGGAAGAAATAAATTATCTAAGTTTTTATCTGTAAGAAATTTCCTTGAGACACTTTTCTAAACTATATGTATTCAAGCATCTGATTTATGGGTATTGAAGAAAAAAAAATTTAACCTGGAAATTTATGATTACCTACAGTGAAGTTTCAGAAACTTTCACCAAGTTTGTTGCAGTTACTGGTGTTATCAAATGTTTAAAAGTTCTGGTTTAATTATATTTCTCTCAAGTATCAGTCAACAATTTGTAGTCAATTTTGTGGCTTCCAGGTCAATTTATTTCAGCTGGTTTAGATAAGAAGTTGATGTTCTGGGACTTGCATATGAAAAATGGACATGCTGGATGCACACAAGTGGTATATTCAGACATATGGTCTATTTCGCTTTGCCAGACTTATCTAGTAGCTGTTGTTGGTAAACAGATAAATGTCTATGACTTGCGAAACTTAAGGGTGCCAGTTCAAATAAAAGAATCCTCTATGAGTTATCAAATAAGATGTGTCCGCTCATTTTCTAGCTGTGAAGGTACTTAATCTATTTGTTCTTTCTGGTGGTATCTAAAATAGCAACTTTTATCTTAATGCCTCCTCCTCTATGGGAAAAATAATGACTTGATTATTGAAAGTAGTATTAAACATCATCTTCTCCTCGTGAATGCTAAAATAATTATTCAATTTTCTTATTTGAGTCGTATGCTAGAGTTCTCATCAAATTTCTTTTCTGATATTGACAACTGAAAGTTAATTATTATCTTCAGGATATGCATCTGGTTCAGTTGATGGATGTGTTGCGCTAGAGTATTTTGATCCTTCAAAGTCACATGAGATGGGGTTAGTTTCCAGTTCTTGCTTATCCATTTGTTTGTATGTCATGGTAGCCTTCTGTCAGCACCCAAAACCTTTCATTGCTTAGTCATGAGTAAGTTGTTTCACATGTTATTGTTGACTTTAGTACGATGCCAGGTTGGCATCTCTGCAGTTGGGAGTTCAATAAACTGCTGGATGTTAAAAGCTTAAGAAGTCTTAGCTTTTCTGATGCAATAGTTTTAACATAGGAATACTCCCTTCTAAATGAAAGAACACAGGGATGCCGAGTTGCTGAATTCTATTTGTTGACTCTATTAACTTCTGTCCCATTTCAAGTAGGTGTGTATTCCGCTGTCATCCAAAATCAAAAAGTGGAAGATGCCACTTGGTTACAGTAAATGACATTGGATTCCATCCATGGTACATATACAATTTCCTGCTTGTTCAAGTCAGTGATATTCACATATATTTGATTAGTTGACTGATTTCTTGCTTCTCCAGCTCTGATACCTTTGTGACAGGTGATAATGAAGGATATGCTATTATTTGGGACATCCAAAGCAAGAAAAGACTCTATGAGGTAAGCCTTTTATTTTAATAATTTAATTGCAGGTTCATCTGTGGTGCCAGTTACATTAACAACCTCAACATTAATTATTAATGGAACTTTGCTTTGTCTTTTGGAGTATTTTGCTTTGCTATTTACATGTCCTTCAGATATAGTTTTGAAGATTTGAAAGTGTTTTACCACCTTATAATATCTCAAATAACACATGCCAGCATATATATATTTTAGGTGCATTGAACTGTTTGGTTTCACTTCTATCAACAATTACCTAAGAATATCAATTGAACTATTGAAATGATAAATGTTGTCATGTTCTGCCTAGACTCCTAGGCAGATGCACCTAGGTATATGAGCTACTTCACAGAGGTACTTGCCGTGATGGATTTTAGGTTAGGCAATTGCTTAAGTGTCCAAACTGTTGATTCAGCCCTTAACCTAGACCCAATTTTCTCTTAGTGGCCATTTAGTTTTGACAAATAGTTATTAGTAAAAAATACGTATCGTCTAGAGTAATGCGACATTAATAAAAGTGTTTTTTCTCCCCTGCTTTTGTGATTTACTATGGAACTAGTTGTTCAATAAATTTCTGCATGTAATTCTTCCATGGTGCATGATATGTATGTTAACTCCTATAATTAAAACTTTAGCTGTAGTTTTGTTTCTATTTCATTGTATTTTAGTTTCTTAAGAGTTCAGAGGCAACTTCCAATAGAACCTCTTGAAGGTTCATCAGCATGAAATTCAACATGTATTCGGTTTTTGATTGGAGTGCCAATGTGATGAGTGATAAGAATCGCCTTATTTTATCTAATGGAAAGTCAAGAAATACATATGTTATATCATACACTGTATATGAACTTGCATACTATAATAAATGTATGGATTTTTTATATGTATATTTTAGATTATATACTATAAAGGTATTTTCTCTACCCGCATGTGCAACAAGGCCTTCCAACCTATGCTTTTTGAGGTATTGCTGCCTATGCTCACCTTTAACATTTTAACAACTGTGGAACTGATCAGTTTCTGACAACTTGTGGAATGTTTTTTTTTTTCTTCATTCTTGTGCCTTGAGCCTCAGATAAGTTGAATTAGACTGCAGGAAAAAACAAGAATGTATTCTCTGGAAATATATATTTGCATTTGCATTATCCCATTACATCTAGAAAGTTTCTTATGGTTATCTTATCGAGATCTTAATCTGATAATATGTGCCCTTATCAAGTAGCAGTAGTACAAGTATTTAATAATATTCCTTTTGATCAACCTGCACAAATGAAGTGTCTTGGATTTCTCTTAGGACCAGGACATGCTACATACACAAAACTATCCTTCTGTCCTGTTATTTTATGTCAGACTAGGTTTCGTCCTTTTCTTTTTGAAGTGGCCTAATTTTGTTTTTGGTTTTTTCAGCTTCCAAGATATCCATGTAGTGTTGCATCTTTATCATATAACCACAGCGGCCAGCTTTTGGCTGTATCATCTGGCTGCATATACCAAGAAGCACGTGAAGTGTTAGTTTCCGTATCTCATTACTTCTTGTGATTTGTTCATTTTACTAACTTACACTACAATCAATGCATGATTTACTTATTCAAATATTCGCCTGATATTATTTTATAAGAGGCTTCTTTTTTTAATATATTTTGATTTCAGGTTTTAAGTTCTTATCTCATATTGTTACTCATCCAAAAAGTCAAATTCTTTGTTAAAAATTTGTATACACTGTGGGAAACTTTTCTCTTTGTTAGTTTTGCCCGATGAATAATTTAATAGACCAAGTAGAGGAATGATGTGATTTAGGTCCTTGATGTAGAAAGTTAATCATTCTCTCTGAAAGCGTTGCTAGATGAGGTAGACCATCCAGTCTAATCACTCTACTGGAGGATTGTCAACTAATTGATTTCAGTTGTTACAGTGCATTCAATAATTCACATCCTTATGGCCTGCATGCATATGGATATTTAGTGTGTTTGCCGCCAATAGAAATCAGATATGAGTCTGAACCTAAAACTCAAATATCAGAAAGGAATAAAACGATTGGAGAAAGCTTTGCTAGATTCCTGTCTAGAGAACATTTATTTAAGAACCCTGAACATCATAGATTTGTTGGTACATCTTCTGATGCAGATTTACTCAATGATCGTTGTTTGTCTATAATAAATATGTTGAGCTCGCTAGAAGTTTGTTGCGTTACATTTTTTCTGACAAGTGTTATTTACAGTATCATTTCCCTCAATGCATGGGAAAATTGTAAAGCATGTGATGGTGTTTACTCAGATAGCAGTCTATTTTTGTTGTTTTGATAGTTAGTCTTCACTATAGAAATCATCTTTAACTTGACCTTTATTTACCAGAGAAGAGGCTCCTCAAATATTCATTCACGCGATGGAGAACATTGCAAAACCATCTCGTCTATCTTAGATGGCAGCAGTGTGCACATGTTGTATGTCTTCAGGTCGAGTTACAGTGACGGGATTGTTGTATGTTTCCATGTCTGTCTTATTTCAGAACAGACTTCTGTGTCAAGTGTGTGATGCAAGAACACTAACCCTTGTCCTCTTTGTTGGAGTCTCTGTCTGGGCCGGCAAAGCAATTGGAGGCTGCTTCTGTTGTATTTACTGTATACTGTTCCAATTCTTTCAGATGACTTGGTGCTTGAATAGCCGAAGTACCACTCATCCTTCTCTCCAGTTTGTTGATGTATGCTACAGGTTTAAGAGTACATTCAATTGGCTTAACCTTTTAGAACGTGTTCAATCAAAAGATTTGATGCTTGCGTCAGTAGACTTCCAAGTATTGTTTGTAGAATCACATTGAGCCAATTCACTGAATTAAGATTGGGGACCAAAAAATGCTGCTTTTTGTTGCTGACTCCATTTCAATTTCAAGGTTAATGTTTTACACTTTTATGGTATACATGGCTTAAGAACCCAAAAAATAATAATTCTCAATTAACATTGGGAAATGCTTTCTTTACACTGTCAATTGCTTGGTTTCAGCATCTAACAAGGTCTGGTGGACATGAAAAAAAAGATACTAGAACTGAGAGTTAATCTCCTCTTTCCAGAACAAAAGAAAAAGAAAAAAGTTGCAGTTCAGACCATATGTACATCATAAGGATGAAATTTTCTAGTTTCAACAGAGATAATCTTATAAAAAACACTCCCTTTCGGGTTTTCTTATCCTACATCCCTGACTAATTTTAAGTGCATTTTTAGCTCTGTTCTCATCTCAATGTGATTGTAGAGAACATATGCCACAGCCAATCTGAATGAATCAAAGGCCTGCTGAAACTATCATCCTTCTTCAAAATGTCTGCTGTGGATCAATTGTAATTGACCAATTATACAAGTTTTCGCACAGCTTAATCGGCTCCTACATGTCATGGTCAACCGTCATGAGTGCTGGCATCTGCCCGATGTCCACGAAATCGATCCTGTTTAACCTCACACAGCAGAGGACATGCTCTGGTAGCTCCTCCTGCTTCTGTGCCTGCATCGGTTTCTCTTGATCAGTTTAACTTTTTTAAGTTTAGAATATTGCAAATAACCAAGCTGCAAGTTTCACATCAATTGAAGCTGGAAGTATGTATATGTCATACCTGGATGGTTAAACCCAGATGAAGAATTCCATGCTTCAATCGCTCTCTAAATGCTTCGAATCCCTTTCTCGATAGGTAGCTAAAGCGGTGAACATCCAGGTCAATTTCAAAGTAATTCGAACCCTGTGCGTAGAAAACATTTCGTGAAAAGTTCTATACCTGTCTATACCCATAAAACTCATAGATTACCCAGTCATGGTTGAAAAAGTTCATGACAGTCGAAACCATATCACTTTTAGATGGGATAACAGCAAGTCTCGAATGCATCATTACAAGAAATTACTCTCTTTCAACTAGGAAATATGCTTGGAATCACAAATCTAGCATATGCAGGCACCACATACTGCAAAGAAAAAAAAAAGCCTATTATGTCATCAGTTACCCGGTAAAAATTGTGTTGAGGGCGTGAAAGCACTGGCTTTTCATTGTAAGCCTGCACGAGCTTCTTTTCTGCACTATTCAAGTGTAGATCCTCGGGATTTACTAATCCAGCAAGTATCTTAAGTCTTTCTCTATAGGGAACGGTTGAGTCCATTGCAAACCCTTTAACCTTTTCTACTTCATCGTCTACTAGTCGCTGCAGAGGACCGTACAATAATATCATAATTAGGATCCGATGAACACTTCCTAACAACGATATTAATGCAAGAAATAAATTCGAAGCAGCTTACCCTAATGCTATCCTGAAATTGGGTAGAAATCTCTTTGTCAAAATTGTCTGATACCTTGAAGTATAGTACAAGGCTCATCCCTTCCCCATCGCTATCACCAAGAAATATAGCAGCAGGATAAGTCGGGAGCTGTCAATTTGAAGGAAAGTTTCAACATACTAACTCATCGAACATCTCTTTTGAAAAGAAACAAGAGACCAAGTTAGTCATCAAAGATGTGAAAAGATACCTGGATGTTGACAATTAGCAGGGAGGGAACTTTCTCGTGCGCCTTCGTAGAAGGAAGCTCAATGTGCTGAGCAATGTGGTTCACTTTACGTGGGCACAAAAACAAATCGACACCAATCGGAGTGTATGGAGTATGTCGTGGAGCAGGGGATTTTTTCTTGTCTCTGCAAAAGAACATTATGAGTTAACAAAAACAAAATTGATTAGAAACATTGGTTGCTCGAATGCAACCTGAAGTAGCTCTCCCCACGAAGCTTAAAGGACGATGGCTCAAGAATTGACCAGCATCCTTGCAATGGCTTTTCTCCAGTTGAGCATGGAACTGATAGTCCTGCCATTGGACGATATAGGCATTTCTTGGAAGCACCTAGGAAAAAAGTTGGCATAATAATCATCATTTTGAATTCTGAAGGAGTTACTAAGTACAATTGAACTACGTGCTGTCATATGCTGTCATGAACTTAAAGATGTCTACATGCAAATTATTATTCAACAATTGACAAATATGACAAAAGAAATAACATGTTCGTACCCAAATATCAGCCAGTAATAGTTATTTTTTTCAACAAGACGAAATGAATTAAGAAAGAAACAGCATGAGTCCACTTACAGAATTCAGTAGCATCTTTTGATCTTCTCTTAAATGAAAGCCTGATCACTGCCGACCTCCTTTTCAGACACTGTGGGCTAGCACTAGGAAACTGTTTTTCTTTATCGTTAAAGCTAATCGAAGGAACCAACTGAGGTGCACAAGATGAAGTCAACTGCTTCAATGTGCTTTCACGAAATTTTTCCTCTGTGTCGTGTATTATTTCTTTCAAGCCTTTAAAGCTACCACGTATATCCTCTAAGACCTTTTTCACTTTGCTGGAACTTTCGATCTGGTTCCTAAGCTTTCCTTCATTAACCTTTTCCAACTGAGATTCAGAGCCTTGCGGGTTAATAATCTTGAGTCTATCTGCATCTTCAAACTCATCTTTGCTTGAGAGCTTAGAACTTCTGATTCCATCTGCTTCAGTGTGCTGTTCAAATCCCAAAGAGATTGATGTGCTGTCGTGAAATTCCTCAAACTTGCATGCCTCATCCACTACGAGTGAAGCATTTTCATGCTGCAGCATTTGGGTCCCAATCGTACCGTTTACCGAGGGAAGACAATCTACAGAAAATAACAAGTACTTAGAAATATTGCTCATTTGAAGTTACCACTGTTTGATCAAGATGAAGAATGCAAATCCATACCTCCACTAACACTACTAAAGTCATCATCAGATTCAGATTCTAAAACACTGACAGAGTCAAACCATATTTCTTCTGGGCATAACCCTGCAAAAATATCATGACCCTGTTAGTTGCAATTATATTCCCAATCAAAGAAGAGTGAGTCGAAAATTTGATGGCAGATTCAGCATATATATATGTATATATAAGCAAAATCTAAATTCAATGGATGAGTGTACAAACAACAAGAATAAGGTGAAAACTGAAATAACAGAAGAATGACAAGCTCGAAACCATCTGAAGCAATCCCGTACCATTTTTCTCCATCTGACTGTGATGCCATTGCAACTGAGTAAGATGAAACGCGAGATTTGAAACCTCAGATTTCCGGCGAGTTGTTGCAGCAGTCTTAACATGAACGAAGTGACTGTGAGGAAGATGATTTGCTATATCGCATTTCCTAGTTGCGGGTGCATCAGGAACTGATGCTGAAATCTTTCCACGACATTTTCTCCACCGAATAGAATACTTCCGTGACCTAGATCTTCTGTTCGATGTTGACATACAGGTACCCATGATGACGAATTAGTACTATGTGGCCTAATAACAAGGATGAGTACTTATCAGATTGTGTCACCCTCCTTGAAGAAATATACAATTTTTATGCATGCGAGAGAAAAGGTAATTTCTCAAATTGCAGGATCTTGTAAGATGAAGTACACAAAACATATTAACTTTATTCACATGTTTTGGTGATCCATATCAGCATGTGACACTGAATGATAAGCAACAAATATCAGGATAAAATACACATTAGTAAAACACACACACACACAGACAACCTTGATCAAGCTTGATAGTGATCGCAGGGGATTCTAACCATAAGAGAAGCAGGGGAAAAACATCAGCCATCTCAGCCCTATCCTCAACCAATGAAAGCACATCACAGACACAGAAGGAAGCCTTATCCTATAGGGGTATTCACGGGACCTTCCAAGAAAAAAGAGGGATAGTGACAAATTAAGAGTCACATGTTGAGTAGTAAAAGCAAAATCATGCCCAAGTTAAAACCAAACTACAAGAAGGCCGTAGATCAAATCACAAAATAGAAGGCATTTAGGTTCCATCACCCAAGTCTCAGGTCAACACTAGTAACAAGAGAAATGACACTAAAATCAAGTAATATATTCAATAATCTTTACCAGCAGACATCTAATTAATGCAAAATAATCATGTTCAATGCACAAGACAGATCCACAAGAACACAAATTTTCCAGGTTATACGCAATTCTCTACTAGAATAAGGGAAGCAGCAGAAAGACTCTACCTTGAACAATCAGGAGAAGCCAACGGGAAAACCGAGCTGGTATAGTCTGTGAAGAGATCTAATACGACATCTCGAGAGCTAGAGAAGCTGCAAAATCCACATCCTTAATGTCAGTCTACTCCAGGAAAGCAATTCAAGTCCGGAGACACTCGATGCGGTACGCATCGACAACCAAACAATGTCCCAACCATTTATTGGGGTCTGCGACGTATAACCGAGTAGATGTGAATCCGCGTGCTAAACTACTCGGAATATTTTCGGAAAAGCAAAACAAAAGGAATGGCAATGTCAAAGATCTGGAAAATATCCTAATAAAATTCACAACGGATAGACGAACAACTAAGAAAACCAACCAAAAAAAGAAAAGAGAAGTAAAGATCCAGTTTTTAGACAAAGAAACATTCCGAGCGTATCAGTTCGACGAATTAGTTGTTGGATTGGATCAAGAAGTTGACTTGGCCCTTGCCACTACTATTTTTGACAGAACCATCAGAACTGCAAGACAACTTGACAAAGATTGACTCATGGCCCAGTTCGGAGATGGCAATGGGAAGAGAGAAAACATGGAAGGGATGTGCAGAAAGGAAGGATACGAACAACGAAATCACACATCAAGAACAGCTGCATCAAACACAATAGAAGAACAAGAAACAACCCCAAGATCCCTGGTAGAGGAAAAGGGAAACCGTATCTTGAATCGCGAAAGACAGATCGGCAACAAAAATCTCAATGGAAACAGAAAAACAAAGAGCTTCTTGATTCCATTCGTACGACGAAGCCCAAAAAATGATTCCGAATGGAAAGAAAAGGAGAGATTTTGAAGGACACGCAGAGACAAAGACGAGACCTTGAAGCCTTCGGGTTGCAGCCTGCATCCCAACATTTGGCATGGAAGACCGCCGGCGGGTGCCGCCCTTCCGTCGGAGACGAGAGGGAGACGAGGAAGGGCCAAGCTCAAGCCCGCCGCAATTTATAGCGGTCCGCCAATGGCGTCTTCCGTTTCACGTGGGAGCGACTGGGAAAGGGCAGGAAAGCTTCCACCTTGTTACCTTTTTTTATGTCACATTTTACAGAGAGAGAGAGAACAAGTTTTGGTGGTAAGGAAGCAGATTTTTACTGTGTCACAAACACATCACATCACATCAATCTGCACTACCCATTCAGAGGGAGAACAGAACTTATTTGATACTCTGCTTCATGGATTGAACTCCCTACTTTCATTCTTTATTTTAGTCTAGAGAGAGAGAGAGAGAGAGAGACTTGCGAATCTGCGATCCTCCTCATGTGGGCACTTAAACTGCTTTCGGACTTGTTGTTCTCGATCATGTATATGAGGTGTTTATAGCCAAACTATACTTCTCTGCAATGGCTTTGACTATTTGAGTTTAATTTTGCACAGCCAGAAAATATTGCCAGAAAAGTAGGAGAAGAACACATGTGAAAAAAAGAAGGCATTTTTTTATAAATAAAAAATAAAATGGGATTTTGCATTGACCATATTTTCTCTCAAAAATTAAGATTTACATGTATATATATAATCAAGATTAACATTGGACTTATTTAATATCCTTGATTTGGTTGAGGAGTATTAAGTATGAGTTTATTTTGAGTTAATTATAAATTATTTTTAGTATTTCGATTTATATATTTTTAAAAATTATATTAAGATCTTTATATTTACGAAAATTTTAATTTTATAAAATTATTTTTTTAATCCTTATAATGATCATAATAATTTATTTTTATCCCAATATAACTTTCGAAAGTATAAAAATAAAAATATTAAAATAATTAATAAAAAAATTAATATATAATTAACTTATTTATTTCATCATAATGAATAAGGAGTAGGGTAAATGGGTTAAAAGAAAATTAATCTAGATAACTAAAACGCCCCCCAATCAAACTACATATCAATATAAACTTCGATGAGATGCTTGGTCATGGCCATATAAACTCTGGTTTATCCGAACACCCGAGGTTGGGTTAGTGTGGCCAGAGAGAGAGAGAGAGAGCAAATAGCTCGGTCAGCTGTACAACTCATCTGCAGTTAATGTTTTGCCATCATTATGAATCAGGTGATCATCCCAATTGCATTACCTCGCAAATTGACAAAAGGTGTGCATTGAGAGGTGAGACAGCCAACATCACCTTTAAATGAATGTATAAAAAACTGAGACATGCCAGCTCAAAAGCTTCCCATGAAGGAGATGGCGAAGCCTAAGAACAGAGACATGCGATGTCCCATCAGCTGGGAAAGATCCATAATTCTTTTTTTTTTTTTTGGTGGTGATGGGAGCACTGCGAGGATGCAAGCTTTAATGCAATGCCATGCACTCCATTTTTCTTTTTCTTATTGTTAAGATATTTTTTTTTAATTTTATTGATAAATTATCTTTTTTTTATTTTTCAGTTAATACGTCATTTTATTTATTTAGCATCTCTTATTTTTTAAAATAAAATTATTCTTTGATTATGACTTTTGTCTTATCGTTGTCAACTTTTTTTTTTTCCTTTACTTCCTCGTTTATTTATCCTCTTATTTTATTTTTATTATTCTCGTCCTCACAATTATCATTTCTTATGTGTCATTGTCATTATCATTGTCATTATTCTCACTTGTATATCATCACTTATCGAGAAAAAATGAACGATGAAACAGATGCATATAATAAGAGGGACAATAGGGTAAAGAGCATAACAAGTGATAGATAAACGAGAGACACTCTACGAGAATAAATAAAAATTATTATTATTATTTTTAATTATTTTAACTTATGTATCTCTTTTCATGTCTCTCAAAAATATGTCTTTATTTATCATAAATTTAAAAAATTCTATGTACCAAACACGTCTATCAAAATATTATAAATCTATTAAAAACATTGCTATCTAAGTCAGTAGACTCAAAACTCATAATAAATCAATTCATATACAAAAATAGAATAAATATTATTATTAACTTAAAAATAACAATAAATAATATTTTTATTATACTTATAATGTTTTGAAAAAAAATGTTATAATCAAGAAATTGAACAAGATTAAAATTAATTTTATAAAAATATAATGAATATTATTATTATTATTATTAATTTAAATACTTTGATGAATGATTTGGATTTGTCGAAGTTGATAGCTTAGTCGTGACTCGTTATGTTATCATGGAGACATTTCAAAGATAATAAAAAACATAGAATTCGTTCTATTTAGAACCTCCATATGGATTCAATAATTTTATTTTATTTTTCTTAATTTAAAAAATAATATAATATTCTCTCCCATTCTCTTTTCCGAGTGCAGAATCCCATGCATCCAACCTCTGCTCTTCGTTCAAAAACTACAGCAAATGCAGTCCCATGATATGATATAAGGTGGTGGTACCTGCAGCTTTGTTTTCCGGGCTTCTTGGCCTTCTCTTCCGGTTCACAGGAACATAGTCTTTCCTTTTCTCACGATTTTGGTGTACCGTTCGAGGAATGGAAGTGACCTTTCGATGGCATTCCGAGTTGCTGCACTTCTCCTCTCTTTTACGTCCCTGCATCAGATTAACATTACGGACTCGCTAAACCTTAGTGTCGTGCTTTTGAAGAAGTCACCACTGTGCACCGAGTTGATTGGCTTCATGTTCTGGGGAAGAGGGAAGAGAAAACAATGTGTTTGGATGCAGAAGATACGATCACATAGCTTAGAATAGAAAACTCAGATGATTGTGTCACACATGTGCAGAGATTACTTCAGCAGTAAAGAACAGCTTGACTGATTGATCTGTGAGGTATAACTACAGTTCAAGGTGCACAGAGAGCTTAAAACAATGAGAGTGGGGCAATTGGCAGAAGATACCAAGATGGAGAGAGGTGCTTCCTTTGACCATGAAAGAGAGAGAGGTTCATGGATGAGGTGGTCCATGCGGACTCTTGGAAACTTCCAGGGAAAGTCTCCCTCATCATATTAATTTGATGATTCCTTTGTTTATCCCATCCAATAACTAAGCACATACTATTATTAGTGTTATTATTGTAGCAGTTGATTCCTTTGTTTATTTCCAGGTTTGCCTTTCGACCCAGGACACTGTGACAGAGAGAAGAAGATGTGACTCTGTTCAAAGAGATGACCAAGTCCATATTTTAGCAGGTCCAAAAAGATGGATTATACTTGCATGCATGCTCTAAGGATCAATACTTAGCAAAACTGATGAATTAATAATATCATGTTAGTTTATGCAAAGTTAATTGCTTGTTGATCTTTGATACATTTCATTCCCTTGACTCCTACCTATCATGTCACCTTCAAAGGGAGCAGTCCTCTCAAGAATCATCAAAACCCAGTTGAGGTGAGAGAGTAGAAGACTGCAAACAGAATATAGTGATAAGAATTAAACGAAGAAGATAGAAAGATAGAAATTGTAAAAGAAACTATGAAATGTATAAGATGTAATTGGCTAATACATTTTGATAGTGAGTTCTTGACAGCCATTTATACACACTCAGTAGGGAGGTTATA